TCAGCCTTTCTGCTCCTATGATGCTGCTTGGCCTGCTGTGTTCATCCAGCCCTGCACCTTGTTGTCTCCAACATAGACAACTTTATTTTAGCTGTTTTACTTCAAAAAAAAGGGAGGACTTTGAAAAACTGCATTGAACACAGATAAGTAGAGGTAATCTGGTGTAGCGAATCATTTCCCACTGTGAAATCTGCCTGATTTTCATCCCTTTGATGTCATTGAAATGAAAATAGTGCAGGATCTATAACAGATGATAATGTTCTCCCATATCACTATCTGCATAGAAGAGGTAAAATTTTTCTTCAGAGTCCTATATCTCTACCAAATCAACGAATGAATTGTAAAATTGTGCTTATTATTGAGTGAGCAGAGTATAGAAAACAGTCCCATCCCCACATTAGGACACATTATTGTATGAAAATTGTTGGATAATACAGATATCATTAACTACGCTGTTACTCATGCATGTAATAACTAATGTTTCTTTTATCCTGACAGAGGGGCCTTTTCCGAAGTGTATATGGCAAAAGAAAGGGCAACTGACAAAATGGTAGCTTTGAAATGTGTTCAGAAAAATGATGTAAATGACATCTCATTAGAAAATGAAATTGCCGTTTTGAGAAGGTAAGATTGTTTTTATTTTACTTACACATTGTTTGCAATTCATTTGCGTAACTTAAATGAATGTACTATTGCAATTTTTTTTGTATTCACTCATTGGACGTGGGTGTCGCTGGTTGACCCAGCATTTTATTGCTCATCCCCATTTGCCCTGGAGATTGCAGAATAATTGCAGTGCTTTTCCTTATCTTTCTGGATTTCAGGATAAAGCATGAAAACATTGTAGCTCTGGAGGACATCTATGAAAGTCCCACTCACTTCTACCTAGTTATGCAACTGTGAGTAGCATTCCAATTCACTTTATGAACCTCTTTCCGTGATTCATACTTCATTTCATTTCATAAATCGTGTGGTGTCAGTGATGTAGATGCAACTGACAGATCTGTGTTGTGGGGAGTGACTACATTGATTTGAACTTTTATAGCACCTTTAGCACGGTAAAACATTGCAAGGCATTGCGCTATAGAGTCATACATAATGGAAACAGACCCTTCAGTCCAAGCTGTCCATGCCAACTATGATCCCAAACTAAATTAGTCCCACCTGCCTGTGCTTGGCCCATATCCTTCCAAACATTTTCTATTCATGTACTTATCCAAATGTCTTTTAAACATTGTAACTGTACCCACATCCTCCACTTCTTCTGGAATCTCATTCCACTCACCACAAATGGTGATGTTATGGCCCATTTATGCCTCACTGTCATTGTCATCATGACAGAAATCTGCTTATTGCATTTAAGAAAAGTTGCCAACTGCAGAATGTAGTTAATCTAGTAAAACCACAGTGCAGGACTACATGTATGCAGAGCAATGGTATGAGCTAACAAATTTGACACAGAACTAAAAAACGAGATTTTAGGAAAGATGACCAAAACCTTAGTTTTGGAAGAATGATTTATGCAGTATGTTTTAAAAAAAAGGACAGAGAGGCATAGAGATGTGGAAAGGTTTCTGGAGGGAATTCCACACCTTGGAGCTGGTGTGTGAAGTGCAATAGCCACAATTGGAAGACCAGGTAAAACCTGTACAGAACCGTTCCCCAGGGAGCGAATAAACATGGGATGGCATTCAATTTCATGCTGCCAGTGGGGAGCCCGCATTCTGGTTTGGCATATCAAAAATGTGAGCATTTGCAATGCATTATGCTCCACTTTAAATTATGCGTAACATTATGCATTCCTGATAGGTTAGGTACCCTGCCAAAAGCACAATGTTGGAAGATTATCCCTATTGTTTCTACCTCACCTGACAGATTAATATTTGCCATTCTTTATGGTGCCACCTTGAAGTTGCAGCTTTGTAATCACGAGATTAGCCAATAAATGTTTTTGAATGGAATGCTCATTGGATAGGCCAGCAGAAAATGATCGGCACAATATCAGTACCAAACTGGAAGCCTGTGATGTAATCAAGCTTTTGACATTTAGGTGTGTCAGACGTAGCTCAGCGTGTAACACATCTGACTTTGACTCAGAAGGTCACTAATGCATTGCACTGTCATTTTAAGGGAGAACAGTGTATACGGAATCACAGTCACTGCAGTTTCAAATGAGATCTTCATTTGAGCTTCTTTCAGTTCTCTCAGGCCTATGTAGAAAATCCCATGGCACTATTTTTAAGAAGTGCAGGGCAGTTCTTCTTGGTATTTCGACTGATATTTATCTCTCAACCAGCCTTCTTAAATGTAAATTATTTGATTTTAATCACATTGCTGTTTGTGGGAGCTGTGTGTAATTTGACTGGAATTATCTTTTCAAATCGCAATGACTATGATTTAAAAATAATTCAATGGCTGGAAGGTGATTTTGGGAGGTTCTGAGCTATGAAAGGCTCTATGGAAGGCTTTTTTTCTTTATAACTGCAAGATTACAATGAATAGCAATGACTATCATGGAATCTCTGCTGCACGTCAAGGTAGATTTTCTAAAGGGATCTTTAGGTTCCCTTGATAGAAGATTGCAGAAACTACATAGAAACTATATAAGTGTTATTTATGTAGTTTCTCCAGAGTTTCTATTGAGATTATGGTTGAAAAACAAAGAATCTCATTGAGAAATAACCAAAATTTTCCTTGTGTCATCATGAAATTGTCTTAATGTCATAATTCTCAAAACAGTTCGATCTCAAAGAACCTATTACTCCATGCATCGTTACAAAGGTATTAAATTGAATGGAATTATTGATTGTAACTCACAATTGTGAGGAAGGAATGTTTCAGTAAAGAATATGTTGCCAATGTAATGATCTTTACCATTGGAGAATATTATAAGTGGTGGATATTTCAGCATTATATCACCACTTTATTGTTACATCACTGATTTCTGCAGGAATGTATATGCTGCAAATTGATGACTCTATTGTGCAGTGCCTTGGAATGTTTTACCATGCTAAAGGCACGATAAAAGTTCAAATCATTGTTAAGCTGGTTAGAGGACTCTGTGCCATTGTTTCTTGGGAATAAAACAATGTTTTAAGTATTGGGATGCAAGCATTGTGAGTGTGCATTCCTTGTCATTGATGAAGCATATAAGTTTGCATTTATTTCCAGTGTGTTAGGAGGAGAACTTTTTGACAGGATTCTAGAGCGTGGGGTTTACACAGAGAAAGATGCCAGCATTCTGATTCAGCAGGTACTTGATGCTGTGAAATACCTGCATGAGAATGGAATTGTACACCGAGACTTAAAGGTATTAAAATCATTTTGCTGATGAAAATATTTGAAAAAACAATAATGAACAAACGATGTTCTAACTTTTCAGGAAGTATTAATTATTATGATATTTAATATATAAAGGGAAAATATCATGCAGGGGTCTGCAATTTACAACTTCCATGCCTTTGCACTCTATGAAACACGTGTAGCTTTTTGCACAGAGTAATCCCCAGGTGGACACTGAATCATTTTTCTCCTGGATGGGAGAAAATGCATTTCCTGTCATTTCAGATGATAGTTTTTTAAAATTCATTCACGGGATGTAGACATTGCTGGCTAAGCCAGCATTTTTATCCATTCCTAATTGCTCAGTTAAAAGTCAACCACATTGCTATGGGTTTGGAGTCACATATAGGCCAGCCCAGGTGGCAAATTTCTTTCCCTAAATACTTTTTTTATGACAATCGAAGGTGCCTACGTAGTCTATTTTTTATTCTAAAATTTTATGATTGAACTCAGAATTCACCATCTGACATGGTGCCGTTTATGCCTGTGTATCCAGAACCTCAGCCTGGGGTTCTGGATTTCTAGTCCAGTGACACTATTGACCAAAAAAAAACAGCTTTGTAACTGTCTAAACTCACATAAGGGTTTAATAATGTAGAAGTGAAAGCAATGGTATAAGCAAATTATTAAATACTTTGATTAAAGCTGTTCAAAGATCTGGTGATGGCTCATGGACATTTGGACAGAACATCAATCAGATGTGATTCTTTGCAAACTGCACTGCAGAGCTTAGGATAAAATAAATGCTTTTCAGAAAGAGATAACAGTTCAATTCATAATGGAATTAACTGATTCAATTGGGTGATGTTGATCTTCACCATGAACAAGAAATTAACTCAGCCACGCTGCACTAAATGCTGTCAATTGGCTTTAAGCTGATTTCATTCTATTCAATAGGGCAAATTTCAGCACCACAGTTTTTTGTAGGATGTGCATTCTATCCCCTCACTGTATGCTGCGTCTAAATCAAACTATTGATACTGGATTCATTGCTTATAATGATAAAGTACTTTCAAGGTCAATTATGCAAGACATATGTAAAGTTAATTAAATAATTGTAATCTATAAATACAGAAGCATGGTAATGGAAAACTGCCTGTTTTTGAATTGTTTCGCGAATCTTAATAACAGCCGGTGTCAAGGCGTCATTAGTCCAATTGACCAATTTTCAATAGGTTTTTACAATTATTTGTAACCGTGAAAATATTCTCAATAGGCTCTGTAATGAAAATATTTTCACACATAAGTACCAGTGTGCAATGGTCTTTTTGACAGTTAAGACACTCTGTACATGCTAGACTAAGCCAGCTTGTTACCTTGGGCACTGCATTCTTTACACATAAATACTGTCATTATATAAATAAAATTCAGAGCAGGAAGAGAGTCCCAGTATCTCAAGCAGAAGCTTAAATGGGGAAGCAAAATATGACCAGATTGCAATTTTGCAAAGTCAACTCTCTTTATCTCTGTCATTGGCTTAAAACAAGCAATTCTTCAATGTACTCCAGTGCTACATTTTTAAAAAAAATCAAGTATCCAGCTTGTATCTAACTTGTCATGTGGCAGAGAATTTTAAAGATCTGAATCATGGGAGCAAATTGGTTTGATTTCAAGGTCTATAGAAGTTCTATCTGAAATAGATCTGGATATTCTCAAGACAAAAGCAAAATAGTGGAGATCCTGTAGATTTGAAAATTAGTCAGTTTACACCTTTGGAGAGAGGAATAAAGTTAGTAGCTGAGTTTTCCCAACACTTTGGCAATGGGTTTGGAGACAGGAAGGTTAGAAAATGGCACAATTCAACATTTGGGAAGGTGTGCTGGATCAGCTGGCTGCTAAATAACCAATTGAGGGCCATTAATTTCTCACAGACATTTTACCCATCTCAGGTTGGGAGGCCCAGCACTGTAGAAGGAGACCATCCAATGAGCATTCTCCTAAAGGATTCTATTTGCGAAACCCCACCTTCCATGGATGTGCAGCCTAGTAGTAATGGCTGACCTTGTGACAATGGATTTTCAGCAAGCCACCTCTCTCCTCCCTCTGTCCCAAACTGTGGACCCTTCCCCCAACCCCACTAACCTTTTTCCAAGCATGTCCAGCCACTGAGGCTTTCTCCCTGATTTTGAAGTTCCAACAAAGGCCATCCAAAGCAATGGTGCTGCTAAGGCAGCTGAGCTGCCAGCCCTTTGATTGAACCAACAATTTCTTTGGATAGAAGCAGTCATTTAATTGACATCCACTGCCAAATTTGCTGCCCAAGTCCTACTGCAGACTGGAACACCTGCTTTCAGCACTTTCAGATGGGATGTCTGTCATCGCCATAATATTCACACATGCGTTTCAGAGGTTTTGTCAGATCATCCACCAGAAACTTTAACTTTGTTTTTCCCCAAACATTGAGTTTTGCTGGACATTCTCAGTCCAGAATCTCATGATTGTGAATCATAGTCCCCAAACAACAAATCTCAGCTGAGATGATCAGGGTGGGAAAGGGATAAATGTCAGATGAGTAGGAGTGTTTCTTTTCTGAGGTTAGTTGTTAAGATATATTTGGCACTTCAAAATAGTGGGATCTTTATTGTATATGCAATTCCCTATATCTGGCCAGAGTGTGTTTGATACTGATATCTATGGCCTGAATTGAAAAGTGTTCTGTTCCTCACAGCAACATGCCTTAGTTTTCTATTCTGAACCTTGTCAGATTCATATTCTTTTCAAAGCACCCAATAATGTCCAGTAATTATTACGATGTTCAAAATGTAGCTTCACCAGTGATCTAAAGCGAGGAATATTATAGTACTGTTACTAATGTTACAATTTCTCTCATAGCCAGAAAACCTGCTGTACTACAGCCCTGATGAAAACTCCAAGATTATGATCAGTGACTTTGGTCTTTCAAAAATGCTGGACATGGGTGTGATGTCAACAGCATGTGGTACACCTGGCTATGTGGGTAGGTGTTTTATGAATTGAATTAATTCATAAGTAGACAATAGAACTTTGGTAGCTGACTATAGGATATTGTGATAGTTAATGAGATAAGAGTGTTTCATTGCTGACTCTCTGCACAACAGCCTTTACTAAATTCAAAAACTGTAAAAATTTCTTGCATTATCGGTTTTTTTTTCTCAAGAATTGAGTTGACTTTAGAGAGAAAGAGATTACATTACTTTAGTGTTTCATCTTGTCCTGAAGGTTTTTCAAGATGCTTTTATAATCAATGGGTTGCTTTTGATGTGTAGTTATTGTTATTTAGGCAAATGTTTGCATGGCACAAGGCCATGCAATATTTATTCAGCCTTCTGGGCCACACTTGGAGTCTAGTTAGCTCAGTTGGCTAAAATTTAGCCCATGGAATAGATTAACACCAACAGTCCTGTTTGATCCCTGTTACGGCTGAAGTAGACTTGGACCTGCTTCTTCCCCATACCTGTGGTAAATAAAACCACAGCAATTTGCCATGGTTCAGCAAATAATCACCAAAGACCTGCCTTTTGTGAAGAAAACTTGAAGAATGGGAGCCACATGTGGATCTTTTGTTGTGCACTATGGCTCTGTTCCATGCATTCAAATTGTCTGCATTGTGATTCCTGATCTCTGATGAGCCGAATTAGTACTGTGAACCAAATCAATTGGCAGCTGCTGCATTTATGTATGAAATATCTACAAATATTGGTAGTGGGTTTAACTAAGCATGATCAAGAGAAAGATTGGGGAATGTGAAAATGGGGTTATAATCCAACAGCAAGCAGACAGATGAGTCTGAGCTGTGGAAAACTGCACTACCTTCCTGTGTTCACACACTATTAAAATAAGGCAGACTGTAAAATAAGACTTGCCTAAAGTTATGATAAATCTCTTCTGGGACCTAAAGCTGGAATTTCACCTATTTTAAAGAGGATTGAGAAAATCTAATTGAACATTCCTGGGAATGGGTGACACAACACGCAAACCCATGCTTATAATTTCAATGGTAATTCTAAGAAAATCAGATTTATGCTGAGGGCTGTTTTATGCATGCTGGCACCCTGGAATCTAACTTTTTCAATATAAAAATGGTTTTAGATCTAAGATATATGTGTTTATTTATTCTTAATAAAATTGCTAGTAAAGTAAAATTGTCCCTAAACAGCACAGATTGTTAGGCATATATGTATTTAGAAGGAAGTGCGGCCATTTAGCGGTTAGAATATACTTCTTGAGAAGTGGAAGAGTAACATTTTAATCTGCATTTCACTTGCAGTGTGCTCAACCATGGAATATTTGAAGCTATCGCTGGTTAAAGAAAAGTTCCACTTTTCAAATTTCCCATTGTGATATTCAATAAGTATTGTTTAGAAAATCACAAATATCTGAAATACTGCTTTTTTATTTCTATTTTATACTTCAATAATGTTGATAACATGTTTAACCAGAATAGACCTCGAGTATTCACAGAATTTGATAGCAGGAATGCGTTAATTATTTCAGGGACATACCTTTTAAATGATAGAAATGCTTCTATTAATGGATCCCTCAGACACAAATTCAGATAATGTGCATAGCTATCCCAGTGATTCTTCACCTTAAGTGAAAATCTGTTTATTTATGCGTTTAAGTTTTGTAAGTGGGAGACTCTTCTAATGTTATACTCACCTCTTATAATATTTCCCCCATTGCAGTTAGGTGGTATCTGCCCTATAGTGATCAGACAGTGTAATCTCAGACTCATTATGCACACAGATATGGGAGAACTACATATTTTCTGTCTAATATCTGTGCAGCTTATGTCTAGTGTCTGCCTGTCAGATGTTTTAGATGTCAAATTCAAATTAGCAGTAAAATGGAAACAAAATTAACAAAAATCTGTGCAATTTATTTTGCATTTTTTTATGTCCAAACAGACACAGGTTTAAATAGTCAATCAGACATCAACAAAGCTTTGAACTGATAACTAACTAATTATGTCATAACAATTAATCAAACATTCCTATAACAAAGACTGTAGTTCTAGATAAGATATCTATTCATTCTGTTTATTTCAGTATAAATACCTCTTCAAAGAAACTAATACATTTTATCTCTCTTAAGCTCCTGAAGTTCTAGACCAAAAACCATATGACAAAGCCATTGACTGCTGGTCTATTGGAGTAATTGCATACATTCTGTAAGTTTCTGAATATATGTAAAGAATTTTGACTTGATTCCATTAGAAAAAGGTATTATGCTGAAATATGAGCCATCCGAAAATTGCTGAAATAAAATCAGAAATTGCTGGAAAAGCTCAGCAGGTGTGGCAATGTAGAAACATAGAAAATGAGTAGGCCTTGACCCTGCTACACCATTTATTATGATCATGGATATTCATGCAACTCAATCCACCTCTCACTTTTCACTCATATCTTTTGATCCCTTTAGCTCCAAGCGCTGTTTCCAACTCCTTCTTTAAATTATACAATGTTTGGACTTGACTGTTTTCTGTAGTACCAAATTCCAAGGGCGCACCACTATCTGGGTGAAGATGTTTCTCGCCATCTCTGGCCTAAATGGTTTTCCCCACATTCTTAGTCTGTGACCCATGGTTCTGGACTCCCTTGTCAATGGAAACATCCTTCCTGCATCTACCCTGTCTATTCTGTTAGCATTTTATACTTTTCTGAGACTGACCCCTCAATCTTCTGAACTCCAGTGAATATAATCCTAACTGGTTCAATCTCTCTTCATAAGTCAGTCCTGCCATTCCGGGAATCAGTCTGGTAAACCTTCGCTGCACTCCCTCTATAGCAAGAACATCTTCCTCAGATAAGGAGACCAAAACTGGACACAATATTCCATGTGTGACCTCACCAATGCACTGTGTAACTGTAGCAAGATATGCTGTTCCTGTGCTCAAGTCCTCTTGTTATGAAAACTAAAATACAATTTGTCTTCTTGGTTGCCTGCTGTAGCTGTATGCTTACCATCTGCAACTGGTGTATATGGACACTCAGGTCTCATTGCACAAATTATGAAGGGAATAGATAAGATAAAAATAGAGAGGATGTTTCCACTAGCGCGTGAAGCTAGGACAAGAGGGCATAGCCTCAAGATTAGAGGGAGCAGATTTAGGACTGAACTGAGAAGGAATTTCTTCACCCAGAGGGTTGTTAATCTATGGAATTCCTTGCCCAGTGAAGTAGTTGACGCTACTTCAGCAAACGCTTTTAAAAAAAAGGTAGATTTTTTTTGAACAATAAAGGAATTAAGGGATACGGTGAGAACGCGGGTAAGTGGATCTGAGTCCACGAAAGGATCAGCCATGATCTTATTGAATGGCGGAGCAGGCTCGAAGGGCCAGACGGCCTACTCCTGCTCCTAGTTCTTGTTTTCTTGTGTTGTGTTCTTGTATTCTCCTCCATCAATTTATAGCCAATCAGATAATAATCCGCCTTCCTGTTTTTGCTACCAAAGTGGATAATCACATAGTTATCCGCATTAAACTGCATCTGCCAAGTATTTGCCCACTCACTCAACTTATTGAAATAACCTGAAGCATCTTTGAAGCCTCCTCACAGCTCACCCTCCCACCAACTTTGTGTCATCTGCAAATTTGGTGATATTACATTTAGTTCCCTCACCTAAATCATTAATATATATTATGAGTAGCTGGGATCCCAGCTCTGATTCTTTGCGGTAACATTAAATCACCGCTTACCATTCGGTAAAAAAGACCTGTTTATTCCATTTCTTTGTTTTCTGTCTGTCAACCAGTTTTCTTTCCATCTCAATACGCTACCCCCCCAATCACATTGACTTTAATTTTTCATGCTAATCTCTGCTGTGGGACTGTACTGAAAGCCTTCTGGAAGTTAGATGCATAGTTTTGGGCAATTAGAAAAACAAACAGGTTGCGCACAAAGAAGAAATATAAATTATGTAAGTCCGGTTGTGATGAAGAATCGCTTGTAAGATGGGTACAATGTGGCATTGGGTACCAGTTCAGAAAATGTGATTAATAAAACAAATACTTAAATTGGGGTCAAGTGTTTGGGGTGGTAGGAAGGGTCATTTTAAATGAATGCATCCAGCAAGAATCTGCTACAATTGAAATTGGTAGAAAAAAAATAGGACACAGTGCAAAATGGGCATCTAATCCCGCTGCTGGTGGTGGTGTAAGGCTATAATTTCTCCCTTGAAGTTTGAACCATTAAACTGCTTCTTTCCCAACATAGCAGAGGAATCACCAAATTATTGATAACTACCAAGTTTCAAGCAACAACCCAAAGGATTCAGACTAACAATTTTGTTTCATTTTCACAGGTTATGTGGTTACCCTCCTTTCTATGAAGAGACTGAGACTAAACTATTCGCACGGATTTCAAATGCTGATTATGAATTTGACTCTCCATTCTGGGATGATATTTCTGAACTTGGTGTGTGAGCAATTGCAGCGAAGGCTGTAAATATCTTAATACATTGAATGATTTCCGTCTGCTATCCCATTAATGAAGGATATTCTAAGTGGGCCTGTAAAAATCAACTGTGCAAATTATCTAGTGTATTAAGGTATATTCTGTCAGTACCATGGATTCAAGATTGAGATCTCGATTTGAATTATTTCATTAACATACATGTTTTATGTTGTTGGACTTTACAATGTCGGACATGTTACATGGACAATTTTGTCCTGTATTCATGAAGTTTCATTCTGGTATTGTCAACGTGCTGTGATAGTGCCACTTGGGACGTAGAAGGATTTCACTATCCTATTCTCCTGCATTTGCCAGTCAATATTCCAGGGGACTCTGGATGCTATTCCTGTCTGTATTTCTTATGTTCTTATGATAGTCAGCTGGCCTTCATAGGAACTAGCTGCCTTGAGAGGCCTGCTATTTCGAGCATGCACGTGACAGATTGGCTAGTTGGCATGTGCGGAGTCCCCTGGCAATATGATATGGCATCATGATACCCCTAGCAATAGGGCATTCCACCTCCAAAGCAATGTGTTTAAAGGGTAACAGGAGGCAATTGGGAAAAAGCTTCACAAAACTGGTCCGTTGGCCATTGATCTCAAAATGATCAGTATATATATCTTAACATTGCCCCTGGAAGCACGAGCCTTTCATTCAGAGAACTACTGCTGGGAAACAATATCAAAACGCCTATGAAATCTCTGTGGAATCTGTATGTGTTGTTCTGAGTTCTTCAGTGTACATGTATACTATAAGATCAAGTATCTGGAGAGCATAAAAATTCAACAAAAGTGTTTCTGATTTCAAAATAACTCTGAAACTTGACCACCTTGTTTAGGAAACATTTCAGCACAAGGGCAATGTGTCTTTTTTATATAGTGTCACCATTTCTGTATAGGACAGAAGGTCTGTGAGTAGAATGGATAGAAACAGGTGAATCAAGGCTAATGAACATGGACTTTTAGAGTGGCAATGATGATGAAACTATTGGTGTTCACTATCATTACTGAAACTAACAGTAACTTTGGGAATCTGTGAATTTTCAGAATATCACGGAAATCAGAAGCTACTGTCAGAGATTCTGTGATCCTTGAAAGAATGCCCAATTGAGGACCACCCCAGAAAACAATCCAGAAGCAATCAGTGACTTAGTGAAAACTTCCTCTTTTATCTTTTAAAAACTTGAAAAAAATTATATCATGCTAAATTATGTATGTCTGATTAAGTGTGAGACTAGGGTCATGAGGAAGGATATTCTTGCTATTGAGGGAGTCAAACAAAGGTTTACCAGACTGATTCCAGGGATGGAAGGACTCACATATGAAGAAATACTGGATCTACTGGGCTTGTACTCACTGGAATTTAGAAGAATGAGGGGGGAATGTCATAGAAACATATAAAATCCTGATGGGACTGGACAGGCTCGATGTGGGAAGAATGTTCCCGATGTTGGGGAAATCCTGAACTAAGGATCACAGTCTAAGAATAAGGGGTAAGCCATTCAGGACTGAGATGAAGAAGAACTTCTTCACTCAGACAGTTGTGAACCTATGGAATTCTCTATGACAGAAAGCTGTTGGGGCCAGTTCGTTAGATATATTCAAGAGGGAACTGGATGTGGTCCTTGAGACTGAAGGGATCAAGGGGAATGGAGAGAAAGCAGAAGTGGGATACTGACATTGCATAATCAGCCATGGTCATATTGAATGATGGTGCAGGCTCAAAGATCCAAATGGCCTACTCCTGCACCTATTTTCTATGAATCTGTGAGTTTTCAACAGCTTTTTAAGTTCATAATTACAACTAGGCACATATGCTCTGAACAGCTAATTCCATAATTTGTGGAATGTCAAAATTATCTAGTACATTTAAAATTTGAGACATTTTTAAGTAATTCTTTTCAAAGATTATTTATGATATTTTCACTTTTTAATTCTAATGGTAATCATCTAATTTGCTACCTTTCAATATTTGGTGTCAAATTTGAACTGTCATCAGAAATGGGGAAATCTATGCCACAGAGATTTCTTTACGTTTGTGGGTAGATGTCTTCAAGGTCAGAGTTGAGTGCCATTGGCCACACAATCCAGCTGGCACATAATTGGAAAAGTTGCAAAGTGAAATACTTGCAGAGGGTAAGCACTCTTCTTCAGTGGAGTGGGCTGCCAAGTCCCATGTCATTTACAAACCACTACACTGAATTACCCTGTTATATTGCTATTTTCTGAGAGATAAATGAATAGAAATGCATTGAAAAATATCCAAACAAATTAAAAGGGGATTAAATGAAAGGATCTGGAAATTTGGATATGTTTGTTTTCTGGAGTAAATATGAAACATTTGCTTTCCCAGTAGAATGAAAGGAAACTGTCACTTACTGAAAAGTAAATTATATATGAAACTGGACATTATTTTAACCATGAGCCATTTTGGTCTAGAATTATGCCAATGTGATTTATACTGCTGTTGTGCTTTTTTAAATGAATAATATGTAGCAGACTGTTGAGGAAGACTCACAGGAATTTCCTTTGTCCACTTCCACCCTTTGCACATCCATTCCCCACCAGGAGGGTCTTAGGGCTCTCTGCTTCTTCCTGGAGCAAAGACCTGAACCAGCCCCACCCACCACCACCCTCCTCCGCTTGGCTGAGCTTGTCCTCACCCTAAACAAATTCTCTTTCAACTCCTCTCATTTTCTTCAGGTAAGAGGTGTTGCCATGGGTACCCGCATTGGCCCTAGTTATGCTTGTCTCTTTGCGGGGTACATGGAACATTCCTTGTTTCAGTCCTATTCCGGCCCCCACCCACAACTCTTTCTCCGATACATCGATGATATCATCGGTGCTGCTTCCCTCTCTCATCTAGAATTGGAAAACTTCATCAATTTCGCCTCCAATTTGCACCCTGCCCTCACTTTCACCAGGTCTATCTCTGACTCCTCCCTTCCCTTCCTCGACATTTCTGTTTCCATTTCTGGGCATAGACTGGCCACTAATATCCATTACAAACCCACTGACTCCCACAGCTACCTGGACTATACATCCTCACACCCCACTTTCTGTAAAGACTCCATCCCATTCTCTCAGTTCCTCTGTCTCTGTTGCATATGTTCAGATGAGGCCAACTTTGACAAGGGAGCCTCCGAAATGTCCACATTCTTCCTCAACCGAGGATTCCCCAGCTCCGTTGTTGACAGGGCCCTCAATCGGGTCTGACCCATCTCCCGCACTTCTGCCCTCACCCCTTCTCTTCACTCCCGCAACAGCGATAGGGTTCCCCTTATCCTTACCTACCATCCCACCAGCATCCGCATCCAGAAGATCATCCGATGCCATTTCCGCCACCTCCAGCAAGATGCCACCACCAGACACATATTCCCCTCCCCTCCCTTGTCTGCCTTCCGCAGGGACCGTTCCCTCCGGGACACCCTGGTCCACACTTCCTTCACCCCCAACACCTCCCCACAGCCCTACAGCACCTTCCCCTGTAACCGACGAAGGTGCAACACCTGCCTATTTACCTCCTCCCTCTCCAGTACCTGAGGGTCCAAACATACCTTCCAGGTGAAGCAACACTTCACCTGCACTTCCAAGAATCTAGTCTACTGCATTCACTGCTCACAATGTGGTCTCCTCTACATTGGGAAACAAAGTGTAGACTTGGCGACCGCTTCGCAGAACATCTATGTTCTGCTCGCAAAAAACACCCTGAACTACCTGTTGCCTGCCACTTCAGTGCACCACCCTGCTCTCTGGCCAACATCTCTGTCTCCGGCTTGCTACAGTGTTCCAGTGAAGGCCAACGCAAGCTGGAGGAACAACACCTCATTTTCTGCTTGGGGACCCTACAGCCCTCCAGACTCAATATTGAGTTCAATAATTTTAGGGCCTAAAGTCTCCCATGTCCCAGCCCCCCACCCCACACACCAGGCCTTGTTACCACATAGCCTGCCACTACACACCTCCTGTTGTTAGTCACTAACAGTTCCCATTAACAACTGTTCACCCTCCCAGCCTGATCGTTAGCAACTCCTTTGTCTGTCCAGCTGTCTTTCTCTCTCTTTGGGCTCTATCCTATCGTTTACTCCCTACCCCACCCACCTCCCTATTTTCTGAATATAAACTGACGTTTTCCCAGCCACCATCAGTTCTGAGGAAGGGTCACCGGATCCGAAACGTTAACTCTGTTTTCTCCTCCACAGATGCTGCCAGACCTGCTGAGCTTTTCCAGCAACTTTGTTTTTGTTCCATACCCTTTGATGCCCATGGTAATACAAGTCACACTGTTTTTGGTCAAATTTCTGAAGTGAATTAATTTCTTCAAGAATTGAACTGATTTTTAAAGTGACTTTCCCAATGTTTCAACATTGAACTTAAAAGAAATGCTGTCAATAAAGTTTATTATTGCACTGGAATGCTTTTACAGTGGGTAAGATGATATTATCTTATGACCAAATGACTTTTCATTTTATTTCTTTTCTTCATTTCAAAAAAATCAGCAAAATCTTTTGTCAGGCACTTGCTGGAAAAGGACCCAACAAAGCGCTTCACTTGTGAACAGGCTTTACGACACCCTTGGTAAACTTTCATATGACAGCTTTGAGTCTTTGCAAATTGTTTTCCTTTCACCAAATTGAGACAAGGAACTGTGTTAGAGAAAAAGAAAACAGTAAAACTAATATCGCATGTTGTAATTATTGAGGATTCATGCAGGTTTTCACTTGTAACTCCATGAATGTTGGAGGTGAATTAGGGGCTTTCCAATTCATGTAAAAATCATGTTGCACAGTATTTATACAGAATAGTAAGAATTCAATCTGTGTTAGCAGTGTAGTGGTTCAGTTATTGATCCTTATTTGAACCACGAAGCTTGCACCAATTACATTTCCTGTGGAGTTCCTAGATCTTCACAAAGATTTGTATTTCTAAGAATTGCTTCGCCATCAATATAGAATGCATCTATGAACTACAATGGGTCACTCAAATTTTATAACATTATCTAGAGGACAACACTCGGGGAAGACAGAAGTGTGGCGAAGACAGAGGAATAAGGACTTTGAAAATTTAGAGTTAGTTTGAAATGACCGGGGATAAAATGTGTTATTCAGAGAATAAGGAAGAGTGAATGAAGGACACCTCATAAGCTTGATTTAATGCCAATTCCTGACAATACTGTTAGATTGGTTTGTTGCCCTATTTTTGACAAAACATGTTACTGAGATCCTGAGGTGTGTGTGGTAATAACTGCATTGATATAATGTCTTAATAATTACCAAGACAGTTTTGTATAGCTGCACAAAACAGAAATAAATATAACTGAGAAGTTAAAGGAAGGAAAGGTGCATGCACTGGACTGGTGGACAACAATTAGTGGAAACTCTGATCCCACATTTGGTGCGAGCAACTGGTGTAATTACTCACACTAAATTAGTAATAAATATTGTTAAAAGTTACATTAATTCAATATCTGTAATGATAAGACATGTAGAAATATCCATTATGAGGAGTGATTGATTCTTGTGCATAAGTATATTATTTTGCAGTTCTGTGATCTCACAGATCCACCTAGCCACTGATCTTCTCTTTCTCTTGACAGGATCACAGAGAACACTGCTCCACTCCATGATATCTATCATAGTGTCAGTGTTCAGACCACAAAGAACTTCGCAAGAAGTAATTGGAAGGTGAATCCTGCTGAAACATTCTTTAAAACTCTTGTTAAACCTGCAAAGTGCAGTGGCCTTACTTAACTTGGTTAAACTAAACTACGACATGTCATTGAGTCATGGAGTCATACAACATAAAAACAGGTCCTTCGGCCCACCATGCCTACGCTTACCTATAAACATCAAACTACACTAATCCTATTTACCTGCACTTGGTCCATAGCCTACAATGCCCTGGCATTTTAAATACTTATCCAGATGCTTCTTAAATGTTGCGAGAGTACCTGCCCCCATCACCCTCTCAGGCAGCATGTTTCCTGTTTCTCCCACTCTCTGGGTGAAAAACTTTTTCCCATATTTTCTCTAAATCACTTTCTCTTCACTTTAACCTTATATGCCCTCTGGTCTTAGACACATCTGCCATGGGGAAAGGATTCTCATGATATACTCTGTCTATGCCTCTCATTATTTTGTATACCTCAATCAGATTCCCCCTCCATCTCCTCTGCTCCAAGGAAAACAAACCCAGCCTATCGTGTCTCTCCTCATAATGGAGACTCTTCATCCCAGGCAACATCCTGGTGAATTTCCTCTGCAGTGCAGTCACATCCTTCCAATAGTGTGGTGATCAGATCTGCATACAGTATTCTATCTGTGGCCTAAACAATGGTTTATCAATTTGTAACAAGACTGCCTTGCTCCTATATTCTATGCCCTGGCTAATGAAGGCAAGCATCCCATATTTCTTCTTTACCATCCTGTCTACCTTTGTTGATGACTTCAGGAATCTATTGATTTGTAAATCAAAATCCTTTTGTTCCTCAGTACTCCTGAGGAACCTCAGATTATTGTGTACGTCCTTCCATTATTAGACCTCCCAAAATGCATCACTTCGCACTTATCAAGATTAAATTCCATCAGCCATAGCTGTGCCCAATTTACCAGTTGATCAATATCAGACTGTAGCCTGAGACTATTCTCCTCACTGTCAATGCATCAATTTTTGTATCATCTGCAAACTTATTAATTGTACCTTCTACATTTACATCCAGGTTGTTAATGTATGTAATGAATAGCAAAGGTCCCACCACCAATTCCTACAGTACACAACTGGTGACAGGCTTCCAATCACAAAACAAAATCCATCCACCATTACTTTTTGCCTCCTATTTGTTAAGCCAAATTCGGATCCAGTCTGCCAATTTGCCTTGTGGCCGATGGCCTCCTACCTTTCAGACCAGCCTTCCACGTGGGACCTTGTCAAGGGCCTTAATGAAGTTCATGTAAACCACATCAACTGCATTGTCCTCATCAATATATTTAGTCACTTTTTCAAAGAATTCAATTAAATTTGTTGGACAAGATCTCTCTCTACCAAATCTGTGTTGACCATGTCTGATCAATCCTGCCTTTTCAATTATAGTTTAATCCCATCCCTCAGAACATTTTCCAATAATTTCCAACTAACTGGTCTGTAATAACCTGCTGCCCTCCTTCACAAAAGGAATCACATTAGCTATCCTCCAGTTATCTGGCACTTCGTCAATAGCCAGCAAAGTATTAAGTATCTCCACCAGGGTCTCCAGCAATCTCCTCCCTTCCCTCCCAAGCAGCGTGGGATACATCTCATCGGGTACTGGGGATTTGTGCACCTTTATGCCTGCTGAAAGATCTAATACCATTTCCTTATTAATCTTAACATGTTCTAGAACCTCGCCCTACCAAATGAAACCCCCAGCTACAATGTCTTTCTCCTCTGTGAATAGCGATGAAACGTATTTATTTAAGACCTCACCCACCTTCTCAGGCTCCACGCACAGATTGCCACTTTAGTCTTTAGGTCTCACTCTTTCCCTGGTAATCCTCTTATTTTTAATATACTTATAAAAAGCCTTGAAAAGTCATTTGGTATTTATGAAAAGAAATTTTTGTGGTATATCATAAAGTGTGGTACAAAGTAATGTTTTTAGGAGTTATTTTATTCAAGGTTCCCTCATTACAATGCTAATCTCAGTCAAAAAAAAACTGATGAAGATTACCTGCTGATTTGATCACACATTTCCTGTCTTTCATTCAAGAAAATTTCTTCATTTTGATAGGATTAATGCATTGAATTGTCTAGTTCTGATATTAATGTGCCACTAGAGGACACTAGTGTGCTTTGTTTTTCAAACATGCTGACTTTGACTAAGTTCTAATGACAGGATTAAAGAATTTCCTTTAGTTATGTTGTACTTCATTGTCACTGTGCCATTGATGACCATTGTTCTACCAAGCTAGTTGATTCTGCCTTAGGTGTACCTCATCCAGGCACAGTTTCTATATTTGTGACTTAATTATCTGACCTCTTTCTTTTCATAGCGATTAATCAATGCTGCATTAATAGTGAATTACATGAAGAAGACACAATTATCATCAGGCCAGCAATCACGGGAATGCAGTTACAATTGCTACCAGAGTGACTCCAAATGGTCATATTTACAAATTTCTAAGAATCTATCACAACAAAGTGTTACAGACCTTTCAACAAAGGAGTCAGCACCATTGGTGACCATCAAAGTTGCCAATCAGAGCATTTCATCAAACTATGTTGAAAAGGAGCATCCTCACCAATGGACTAGTGAGAGTGCATTAGCTTGTGTGATGTTAGATGTGAAGAAAAGCAATGGACTAACTAAACAGGATATGGCTGCAAGTTATGCAGTAAATAGAAATGTGCATGTTGGCACCAGTGAAGAAGGAAAGGAGACAGAGATTTCCACTGCTGCAACCAAAACTCTTTCGTCAAGTAAAGCTCAAGACCAGTAAGTAATGCTTGTTCAAGCTTATTGTTCAAGATTTGTTTTAAGGCCACTCATTTGATTATTTGATAATATTTGTTGATTATGATGCACAGAATGTATATATTAACAGTCAGTCATTATTAGCATGAGTTCTTGGTGATGCTTGTGGAGTTCTTAATCAAGGTATTGCTATAACTGGACTCTTGGCTGTTCTTTAAAGTAATTCTTTATTTGCACATATTTCACTCTGTGCATAAGGTCTAAGCTAACGCTAGAGTTTAAGCTAATGCCTTTGCTAGAGTCTTCTCATCACCTACCTGGATTTTACATTGGCCAGACAATTGTTATTCCAGCAGAGATGGGAGTTGCACATGAGGACCCTTTGGAATTTCCACTTTAGCAGACTCCAAGGGAATAGCTCAAATTTGAAGGTTCTTCTTGGCAATCTTCCTATGTCTGGAACCCATTAAATGTCTCCATATAAATCAGAAAATTTGGAGGGCTTTGATGAATTTAAGTAAATTGTTACTCGGGAAATGTTAGACTATTAAAACCATAATCCTGAGTTATGATTCAACTGACCCCCTATGCTTACCTCACAAACTCTCACATATCCCTCCGCCAGACCCATGACACAATACCCCTCCTAGATCCAAGTCTTCCCACTTGTTCAGGACCTGATGCATCCCTTCACCTGGCTCCGGACCTGATCCCTTTCCCCTACCATTGCACCCAAAACTTTTTATCCCACTCTGGACTGTACCCTTCCTCTGCTCAAACCGGACGCACCCATTCCCCTCCTCCTCCGGATTTGATAATCTCCCTGCTTCATCCATTCAGGACCTGCTCCCCATCTTCTACACTCTAGAATTGCACCCTTTTCCCTATCACCCCTTCAGCATTTGGAGGCAGACAAAGGTTTCCCTATTCCAGATCCTTTCCCCCATACTGAGGCATGGTTTGCCTTCCCCTAACATTTCTGTACCGTGACAGAATTGTCAGAATGGGAAGTACAGCTTCACATTCCTGCAGGAACTTTGATTGAAATCTCCTGTCAGAAATACGGAACTCTCCTTTCATTAAAATAAATGAAGAGGCAGACAGCATACCTCTCTTATTCATACTCTGCTTTTGGCACACTCTGGATGAAGATATTATTCATATGGTAAATAACGCCATCTATTCCTTCCAATATGCTGTTCTCTGGAATATCTGTGGTATGGATATGATCTGGAAGGGTAGATGGTTTAAACGGTAATGTTTAAATGACATGATGAAGTCATTCAGTGGGGAACGGCTAGAATCTGCTATTTGCATCCAGTCCTGTGCAGATAGTAACCTTTGAAAATTTTGCTCAGCTTCAATCTCCTAATGCCATTGGATGTACTTCACATTCTATGGCTTTGTTCAACAGAGGAAGGTTGACACAAATTAGATGGATTAGATGTATTGGATCCATTTAGTTTTGGGACAGGTACCATTCCAGAACATTGGGTAAGTCTGGTAACTGGTGAATGAATACTTCGTTGAAGTATTGCCTCTACTTCACTTCTTTATTCAGAAGGGGAAGTGGGTCTTCCTTGGTGTAAACAGATCTCCAATGAGTTTTGCATCTGCTCTGAGCGTGGTGTGGCATGCTGCTTTAAGCTTGCCAAAACCCTTAAATAATTTTAAGAATGTAAGTCTGAGTTCACTGTTTTGGTCTCTGATTTAATTCACTTTGTAAATTTCAGATCCTCGCCCTTCTGCTTGAAGAGTATTCTTGATTCTGGATTATATATTGTGTTTCAAAGTTTTTGCAGTGTTTGTACTTGATCTTCAGTTTGATATCGCCTGGACCTTGTAATCTAACTGATAATGGCTGTCTTATAATGTGACTGCCTTATCTGACAGAAAAGAGATGTTGCTTCTGTGTTCAGTTTAAAATTGGACAGTGTCCATTGACCTCAATATTGGTATGCTGGTATTTACCATTTCATTCCTTAATTTCTTCAGGAAAAGGCAATTTCTTTGTTTCCCGATTCTTTGATGGCTTCATTTGAAGGCTTTTCCCACAACTTTAAGAGAAAAATTTCCTTGGAGTGATGTACTGCTTTGAAATGATTGACTTGCCCACAGGCATGTGGCTATCCACAGCTTGGATGGGACTTTATTGATGTTTATGAACCTTTCTCCTGCCATGATGGGAACATAAAATGAGAGCATCTGCCCTCTTTCTTTGTGGTTCCCTGGCTACTGCCATGATGTAATTTTGTTTTTGCATCCAATATACTGAGTAGAACCAACAGCTTTTTCAAAAGATTCTTCTCTCTCATTTAATAATGACTTGATTTTGTTTTTGCATGTCAGCTTGTCTAGCCCATTGGAGTGCTCCAATCAGTATTAGATCTTTCCTAGACAGTAGGAAGCATGAGAGAATCTCTTCTAAAACTCTGACCCAATATTCTGCCTCTGCTTAAGTTATCTTTTAGAGTTCTGAACTGTAATTATTTCCCAAATGGTAGATATCATTAATGAAGGCATTGATGCCTCGCCAAGGCTTTTGTTTCCCCTGTTAACATTTAATTGAATGAGAAAAAATTATGCTGAACACAAAAGTTCGAATCAAAAGCTCCAATTACATCCTCACGGGTGGCTGTCTCTTTGTTTATCCCTTGCCTTGCAAGCACATCATTTGTAATGCCATCCGCATTGTAAAACAATTTACTGAATGATCGTTCTTTGTTTAGGCCATTAATTCTGAGGCATTTTGATAGCGGATGAAACATTTTCTCCAGTTCTGTCATTTGTTTGGCCTGTTGTGATACCTTGATGTTTTTAAATGTGACTTGAAGTGGCAAGGTAGGATCCATGTCTGCATGTTGTTCCAGTTTTATTTCCACATGCCCACTCTGATAAAAACTAACTCACGTGGGAGTTCATCGAAAGGTTCCAATGAGGTTTCATTTCCTACACCAGCTGGTTCACTATGAACATATCAGCAGCCTGTGATTGGAGGACCACCTGATTAGTGATTCTGTCCAATCAATTTAAGGAGCAACTTTTGGTTGATTGGTCACCGCTCTGAGTTTTCCCAGGCATTTTGATGTAGTTTGGGAGCAATCCCACCCACTGCCCTTCTGTTTTGAATGCTGCTTTCAGAATCTTCTCAACATGATGTCTATAATCATATGTTCATCATGTGGTCATGGCATCATCAACGACATAGCTTGCTCTGCACATTCGCTGAAATTAACCCTTTATCCTACAACTGGGGTACAAGTCTGAGGTCTAGGCTGCATCCCTTACTTTGCTCATTTGCTGATTGTAGGTATCTCTCATGAAGAGCTTCCTGGGCACTGCTCAGTGCCACTCCCCCAAACTGACACAGAGAAGAATAAATATGAGGGAGATTTCTGAACGTTTTATACAGCACCTCTATAAAATGCCTGGCACAGGGCCATCCACCTACTCTCTTGTTTGCACAAGTATATGACTCAACGATAAAATATTTGAAAAGTAAAAGGCTTTTACCACCTGAATGATAAACATTAAATAGTCTTTTGTTCACCACATTCATCGTCTATAATCATGGAAAACATACTGTAGCTGGAGATTGAATGTCAAAATCAGCAGCCACTCTTCGCTCCACCAACCATGTGTGAGTAAATAAATGAATCCTGTCAATTTAACTTCTTAAAGAACATGATCATAATTTTGTGATTATTGTTTGGATTGAGGAGATAGAATCAAGTAAGTAATGATACTAAGCCTTTAATATCTCAAAATACACGTGCTTATGGCATCATTGGCAGCATATCAATACTTCATCAATTTATTTATTATGTTGGAAGGGACATCTTTATTCAGGTTAGAATGTTGACACTCATTTGACTAATGGGTATTATTGCCGAAAATGGGTGCCTGCCCACCTGATTTCAGAATTTGAATGTTATTTGTTTGTTGAGTAAAGACCAAAATCAAACGGAAAGGTGCCTGATGAGCTCACATTGTTTATTTTGAGGGAATGGAAAGATTCCAGATTGAACCAAAACTGAGAAAGTACTATTATAAAAGAGACTGTATTACCATTTATGACTTCCAAAGATCCAAAAACAATGCTTACTATACTTTGTACCAATTTGATTTGATCACAATTCACTGATTTCTCCTAATCAGCAAATTTCTCAGGTGATCAAAAGTGATCAGTTTATTCCAAAGCATTGAGGCAACTATCAAAGCACTATTAAAACTACTTTAATGATATGTTCAGAACTAGGACAGACTGACTGCATAAAGTCTCAACTTGTCTGGAATATAGTATTCCCAGAAGTAACTCAATGAACTAAATTTTACTAGAAATCAGTTCATTGTCGACTTTTGTGTGTTCATCGGAGGGTTTCTCTGTGTATGCCTTAATGAGTTTTCTGATACGAACTTCAGAAACTTGCCTCATTGCCTATTCACTGTGTCCCTCTGAAGTCCCACTCAGTGTACCATCCTAACCACTGTTGGCAGAAATACTTGGCACTGCTGGGACCTCACGTTATTCCTGACACCAGCCAGTCAAATGTTGGCAGTTTGGAGATGCCCTGCATGGTTCCTGTCCATTGCCCTAGACATCTTGAAAGGGGGGAAATTGGAGCCCTGCTTTGCTGACAGAGACCTGGAGGTCTGGGTGGACAGGAGGTGCATGCAGTCATTGTTTATGGAGCATGCCCTGAAATGTTAGGGACTGATTTCCAAGAAGGAGGGTCAAAGGAGTGAGTAGCAAGTTAGGGTAACCAGGTAACTGCTCTATCTTTCATGTTAGTAATAGTTTCTATCCAGCAGGGGGGAAAATGGGAAACTGCATATCAATGAGGTGAGATTAGGTAAGAATGAAATGGCAATGCATTTTAATGCATGGAAATAGGCATCTCGCCCCCTCACTACCGAGAATCTTATCTCACCATTTAGTGCTTGGTTGGAAAATGGAACATTTTGCTCTTGATCTTGGGAATCTCCTTACTCTTGATCTCATGCAGTTTTCTCAAATTTCTCACTGTGGCCCATGTTGTTCAGTGGCTGGGGAATTCAACTCAATGTTTCCTACCCACTCAGGGTTATCAATGCAAAGCTAACAATGGAATGTGAAGCAGATCTAGTTTAAATATTGCATAACAGTTTCATTTCTTTTTGTAACAAAACCTACATCTTTGATTTTTTGACAGATCAACTTCATGTCCACATGCAAACCCAAAGAAATGGCCTAAATTTGAACGGGGCAACAACACAAAGACTGGGGTGTGCTTGATTATGTAATGTATGTCATTGGAATGCACTAGACTACTGTCATGCACCTGTAAGTAGTTAATAGTGTAATATAGTATTAAACAAGAGAAATCATAACTTGTTCCCCTGTGAAATTACAGGAAATAAAAACTGCGTATTAAATCAGAAAGTGAAGGAGCAAGGGCATTACCATTGTGTTTTTGACTCTTATCTAGTTTAAATTTCACTCTCATCTGATATTCATATTCACATTTCCTACAATGGATACCTGATCAATTCATTCGCCTTGTCTGGTTGATGTCAGAGAATCTTGCACAGCATGTACTTGCAATTTTCTAATGGACTATGTGGCAAATATTAAAACCAGGAACAGACAGATGTATATAAAGGAACTTGTCAGCTCAGTAAAGAGGCAGAGGGTGCAAAGAATAAGAGAAAAAAAATTTGACCATTTGAATGGGCAATTCAATCTCCTTTCACTTAAGAAGGATTTTTCCCCCTTTAACAGCATACTCAAGCCACTTGGCAATATGCTTTCCCCGGTGTGCATTTCCTAACTCATGAAAATGTAGGAAGTTGAATTTCAAGGAGGATCCATTGCTATTTCTCTAGATCTTCTGCCAAACAGGAGCACTCCATCGAGACCACCTCCTTAGTTGTGGATGGTGTTCTGATGATCTCTTTTTTGCAATTCTGTTCATTCATAAAGTAAAGACTGCAGGTGTAAATAAAAGCTATCTGCTTTATATTGACAATATTAATTCTCCTTTACATTTTATGGATATAAATTTATCCATAATTAGCATAACGAACATCGTGTAGTATAACAACTTTGACCACATCAGTAAATTTACTTTGACTTATAACATTGGCTGGGTTGAAGTCAGGTGAAATTGTATCTAATTGAGCAGCTTTGTTAATGTAAAAGGGTTTCTTTAAGTGCTTTAACAGGCTTTTCTATTATTACCATATATTTTTCTACTAAGTTTTATAATACACAAGATTTTTTTGCACCATGTATGTAGAATAAAAATGAAATACTACAGATGTTGGAAATCTGAAACAAGCACAGAGAATGCTTGAGAAACTCAGCAGGTCTGACAGCATCTGTGGAGAGAGAAACAGTTACTGTTTTGTGTACGATATGACTCTTCTTCAGAACTAAAAGGTTGGAAAATAGTGTTTTTATATATTTAATAGGGCAGAGGAGGAGCAAGGGGAGCAGATGGAATGGAGACCCAGTGCTAAAGATGAAGGGATTCTAATTTTGGTGAAAAAGAAACAGAAGTGTAAGATGGAGGTTAATTAAGGTGTGGAAGAGTGAGAATAGGTTCTATTGGCTGAGAACGAAGTAAACAAGACATATACAAGATGAGCCCATGGGAGAAGAGTAGACAGGATAAGAATATAGGAATAATGGAGAACAGGCATCATGCTGTCAGGCTCTGAAGTTATGGAATTCAAAATTTAGTCCAAGAAACTGCAAAGTACCTACCTGGAAAATGAGGTTGCATTCTGCCAGTTTGCATTGTGCACCATTGGAACATTGCATCAGGCCCAGAACAGAAATGTTCACATGAGAGAAGGTCATTAATTGAAATGGCAAGCAACTGGAAGGTTGGGGGTGCAATTCACAGCGCAGGTGTTCCACAAAGCAGTTACCCAGTTTACATTTGGTCTTACCAGTGTAAAGTAGATCACCTTGTGAGCAGTATGCAATCAACTAAATTGAAAGAAGTACAAGCTAAATGCTGCTTCGACTGAAAGGTCGGTTTGGGGCTTTGGACAGTGAGTAGCTGAATGGACAACTCTTACACTTTCTGTAATTGCATGGGAAAGTGCCATGGGGAGTGAGGAAATATTAGGAGTGATGGAGGAAGGGACCAATATATCACAGAGAGAATGGTCCCTTTTGGATGCTGACATTTGGGGGTGGTAAGATGTGTTTGGTAGTGGCATCCTGCTGATCTATTCACCCACCCACAACTCTTTCTCCATATTTTGATGATGACATTGGTGCCGCTTGTACCCACATCTGGAATTGGAAAAATTAATCAGTTTTGCTTCTAATTTCTTTTCTCTTATGCTTTCAATCCTTCCCCTTGTCACAGAACAACAATAGGGTTCCCCTTTACCTTACTTTCCATCCTACTAATCTCGGCATTTAAAGGAACATCCTTTGCCTTTTCCTCCACCTTGAGCAGGATGCCAGGTTTCATGCATATATGTGGATGTGGACATTGATAATTGTTTGCTACTGATGTCCAATCTTTGTATATTGTGCTAATTTTTTGGTATTATTTTAAACAAACAATATTCCTTATACTAGGTGGAACAAATGGATACTCAATCATTTTTGGTTTTCATGGAGAGAAAACAACTGCAATCACTGCAAGGGAAGATATTTCACAGAAGTGAGAAAGGAGATGTACAACATGTTATTTGGGTCCACCTTGTGACTGTTGCTCCTCATTGAATTGGAGATTGCTTTACAGTTGATTCCAAACAAATAAAATATTGGAACAGGACATTCCAATAAATAGGTTCACAAGTTTGAATTGAACTGGGTCAATATAGCCTAGATAAGGTTTAGTATAAAATATTGGTAATATTAAAGTTCTGTTTAATTTGTTGTATTACATGTACTTCATTGAGCAATGCCATACATAATAGCAATCTGACTTTAGAGCTACACAGCATTAATCTTTCACAGCAATGCAAGTACAATTATACAGAAAGACCACATTTAGCATGCATTTAAAAAAACCACATGAAATAATACATTTATGTGGTATTTTCTATTAGTGAAAAAACATAAAAAAGAGATTCTAAATTCTATATCTTGCTAATAGCTACGTCATTCTCTGGATTTTAAAGGTTTAAATTATATTGCCCTTCAATTTTCTTCTCCCTCAATAAGAACATATTCAGGAGCCTCTTCATTACTGAGAGTCATACAAACACATGTCAGCCTTATTTTCTATGCCTTCCCAATGCATTATTCACTTTTAAAGACCACAACGTCAAAATGGTGTACAATAGAGAATATTTTCTACTTGGGTGTAGCCCATGGCATTTGTCCAATGTGGCGATGAGGAGGGACAAAATATTTTCAAGATCAGGCCCAGAACTTTGAACTAGGCTACAAAATTGGTGATCCACTACAGGTAGTCAGTATCCTGTCGGCTGTAACAGGCCACCAGAGAAAACCTGTTAGTTCAAGAAGTAGATACTGGGAACTCAACAAGAATGAGTCAGCAGTGGGTCAGATGATTTTTTTCTATTTTCATTGGGTGAGTATGCCCACTCCTTTTGGCACCCTGCCCCCACCGATTTGTTTTTTTAAGAACTTACCTTTTTGAAGAGCCTTCCAATTGCTCCTTGGAGATCACCAATTCTCCACAGCCATAAATATTAGTTTTATGTTCTACCTGTTTTGCCATGAAAATTACAGTCAGAGTCACAGCAGTAGTGTAGACCCAAAATGCATATTTCGCCTCTTAGTTGCTTTGAGAACACCACTGGTCCTGTTTGAAACTGGTTTCAGAATATGAGTGCACAAAGTCCCCACCAAATATTCTCTGCTGCAACCGATTTTGCAGGCAATAAACAGTTAGTGTTTGAAAACTGCCGCAGTTCTGCAAATATATCCTTGTCATGTACAGAATTAAAACTGCATTATGGAGCTGAATAAGTAACTATGGCCTCAGTTTTCCCATATTTTGGCTAAGTGTCAATTTTGGGGTAATCATGGATGTTTTCTCTTCTTGAACTCTAGCAACTTCTTTTATACAATTTTAGGCTGCTCAGCTCATTAAGTATGCACCACACCCACTCTGATCTTGTACTATCACACACTTGGCAGTAATGGAACTGATTATTGGTCTGGGACTGGGTACTGTTACTGGTGCCAAATTAAAACCAGAGCTGTGCACTATTTCAAACATTATACGCTAGGAATTCCATCAGAACAATTCATGAACAATTGAACAATTCCAAAGGAGATGTCAGAAAGAGGCAACTTGACACCACACTTTGCCAACAGAGACATTATGGTTTGGGCTGGTTGAGAAGGGTACCGTTTTCCTTCCTGTGGATGACCAGATGAGACCCTGGCACCAGACCTTGTCAACCTGGCCTAAAGTGGCCTCCCAGATCAATATAATTTCGGTGGTATGGAGAAACACACTGCACATCTGCAAGAAGGTCAATGACCTTCTGCACTCTACAAGGTTAAGTATCATCATGTTCTCTCTGCTCACACAATCATTCAAACTCAACCACTGCACTCATCTCCCGCTAAGGTTCATGTTTTGCCAATCTCATTACTGCCACTTTCATCTCACTCAAGATCATTCCTTTAGTTTCACTGCAGGAGAAAACAGCCCACAATAGGGCTGAGATGCCAGTGGTGGGGATTCGAACCTGGGTCTCCACATTGCCATGTAAGCTACTGGCACATGCTCTACATGTGACATTGATGTGGCAAGGTTTCATACAGCTAAATGTCTAATCCCTTGACAAACCATTGCTGCCAAACATGACAAGATATATGGCTTTCTGTCTGTCCTTAAAGGCACCACAAGGCCGAAATGCTCTGAGTACCTAAGTGCAAAGTGAGCAAGTGCTACAAAAGCAAGTTAAAAGCCCTGAAATACACCCTGTTCTGAGGAATGAGATAGGTATATGTCATTGTGCACAAACTGGTCTGGCACTAGCATTGCAATGTAAGAAATTTGTGAGCTCTATGGTCCAGTATTTAACTACCGAGCTGTATAATTAGTGCCCCCTCAGTTGTGCCATAATGATGTGGTGGGCTGGTGGTTTACTGATGTCAAACTCCATGGACAGAGAATGCAGAGGGTCACTGCCCATGGAGCATGCCCTGAGGTATCAGGGATGCTGGCCAACACGGAGGAGACACCGGTGAACTGCAGGCATCAGAATACTCCTCTGAATTTCAGATTGGAAATTGGCACTGTCTAATTCTCTCTGATACCTGGTAAAAGAGATGTCTGCATATAAACAAGGTAAGATTTGATAATAATATGTTAATTCATACAAATAGGCCCCTTGCCACTCAATAGCAAGATTATCATTTAGCCATTAAAATCCTAAAGCAGAAAACCAAACATTTTTCTCGACTGTTATGGACCAGACCAAAATCATTCAAAATATATTAAGAAGGCATTTGACAAACTAAAAGCTGTGTTAACCACTGCCCCAGTGTTAGCCACACCGAATTACACAAAGCTATTCAAGGTGACTATCAATGTGATGTGGGTGTTGATTCTATGCTCTTGCAAGATAACGACAAGAAAATAGACTCCAACTTTTTCTTATTTTTAAAGGCAAGTGTAAAGCATTATGTTCTGTTGCAATTTGATTGGTCAAACTACCAAGTTTGAAGCAAAACATCCTTTACTCTCGCACCATAGTTAAGTACAAACAAAAGAAAGAAGAATTGGAATAACAACTCTATTAAAAAACTTAACAAAATAATATATTATTAACTACTAAACAGCAAGCATTCCAATATAGTAACATCCCATAAACACACCCTTGGCAAAGGCAAATTCAGTAAAATACATTGTCTCACATGCAATTCTCCGGTCCAGTAGAAAAGAACATAAAGAGAAAACTCTGACTGTGCGAGAACTCAAGTGTTTTGCTGTAGCAGGGATTGATGTATAGCAGCTTCCAAACCCAAACAGCTATTGAAAGTTAAGTAAAATCCTGGTTCGGTAGGAGCCTGACCCCATGCCTTCATGCTGCTTCAATTGTTCCAACTTTAAATAAAACCCAATGCTGCACAAGCTTTTTACTTTATTGGTTTTGAACAGATGACTCATCACCTCTGTCTCACCTTTCTTCATAAAAACAGGACATAATACACCTCTTAAAGCTATAGTATTGTCACAGCACCCCTTAAGAAGAAGGAACCATTAATATACAAAGATGGCTTCATTTTTAAAAACCTTTAGTCTGAGGCTATTAGTACACTGCAATGCATATACATTACATTTACTGTGAGCATGCAAACATTCAGTCGTACAGTCTATTTCTATCTGTTTCTTCTGCCACTGAACACCTTCCTCTTCCTTCATCACAGTCGCGAAAACATGTTGGCAGATACATTCTCTCATCCTGCATAATTTTCAAATTGAATGGCTACAATAATAAGCTCCATCTAAATAATTTAGAATTTTCTCCTTAAAAATTTCCAGACCTTTAAGTGATTATAATCAGTATATACAATTGTCTTGGACACATTACTGGCAACACATCATTGAAATGTTTGAACACCAACACCAGTCTTAAGGTGTCCTTCTTTATTATGAAATATGTCTTTTATTCATTTATTTATTCATTTGTGGGATGTGGATGTTGCTGGTTGGCCAGCATTTATTGCTCATCCCCAATTTCCCTTGAGAAGCTGGTGGTGGGCTGCCTTCTTGAACTGCTGTAGTCCACCTGCTGTGGGTTGACCCACAATGCCATTAATGAATATTCAGATTTTGGAAGGGTACCCAATAGGTGTTTCTATTTTCTTGTTGTTGTCTTGTAAGAGTACAACACCAACACCCAGATCACATTGACAGCCACCTTGAATGGCTTTGCATAATAGGTGTGGTTAACATTGGGGCAGTAGTTAACACAGTTTTCAGGTTGTCAGATGACTTCTGACACTCTTCCATTCACTTAAATTTTCTGTACTTCTTCAACAGGTCAGTCAGTGGACCAATCGCACTGCTAAAATTTGTTACGAATTTTTGATAAAAACCAGTCCCAGGAATTGTAACACTTCCACCTTCATTGATGGTATGGGTAACTGCCCAGTAACCTTTGGTTTCACATACTATGGGGCCAGTTGTCCATGTCCAATAACATGGCCCAGGAGAGTGACTTAGGCTCTTGCAAACTCACTCTTAGCCAGGTTTATCACCAAGCCTGCTTTCCAAAGTCAATCAAATAATTCCGATAGATGTTCCAAATGTTCCTTCCATGTGACTCAAAATTATCAGATCATCTTTATACACCACACAATTGAGTAAACCTAAAATGACTTTATTGGTTAGCCTTTGAAATGTGGCTGGCGCATTTTTCATACAAAATTGCATGACTTTAAACTGGTGCAGTCCATCTAGTGTCATGAAAGCTGAAATTTCCATCCCTGTTTCTGAAAAAGATACCTGCCAGTATCCTCTGAGTAAGTCCAACTTAGAAATTATAAGTTTCTTGTCCCATCTTCTCAATGCAGTCTTCCAAATGTAGAATAGGATATGAGTCAAATTTTGTAACTGCATTGACTTTGCAACATTCCACACATAATCATTGGGTACCATCTGGTCTTGGCACTATTACTATGAGTGAGCTCCAGTCACTGCAACTCACTTTGATAATATTGTCTTTGAGCATGCTTTCAAACTCTTTTGGAACCTGTGCCAACTTTAGAGGATTAAATCTATAAGGATGTTGCTTAATTGGAACAGCATTTCTTATATCTACATCATGCATAATTAGATTAGTACCTCCAAGCTTATTCTGACATATCTCCCCATGCGATTGTAATAATTCTTTCAGATCATTTTGATTTTCCTGTGGAAGGTTACTCAATAGTTTATCCCAATTTTTGAGATCTTCTTCATTGTCTAATATAGTTTGAGGAATGTGTAATTCAGAATCATCTGAACTTGGTTTTTCACACTGTAACCAGTAACATTTTCTCCTTTCATTTACCTTCCCTATCAAAATACTTTTTGAGCATATTCACATGACACACTCTGTGAGATTTCTTTCTATCTGGAATTCTTATCAAATAATTAAACACACTCAATTTCTTTTCAATTTGATAAGTCCCATTAAACTTGCCTTCAAAGGTTCACCTACCACTGGGAGGAACACCAACAGTTTATCTCCACCAACAAGATTACAAATTTTTGATGTCTTGACTGCTTCCTGTTTCATCACATGATGTACTATTTTATAAATGCTGTCTAGCCAACTCAACTGCTCTATTTAATATTTCCCTAAAATTTGACATATAGTTCAAATATGTAGTCTCTGAACCCTGACTCACCAATTTTTCCTTAATTAATTTTAGTAGTTCTCTCACCTTCCATCTGAAAACTAATTCAAATGAACTGAATTTAATTGATTCATTGGGTGCATCCCTAATTGCAAAACATACAAATGGAATTCCTTTATCCAAAACCTCTGGATACTTTTGACTATAAAACTTCAATATGGTCTTTGAAGTTTGATGCCCCCATTCTAATGCTCCTTGCAATTCTGGATGGTACACAGTTGGTTTAACTTGTTTTGTTCTTAATCTACCCATTACTTGAATAATTCTGATGTAAAATTTGACCCTTGATCTAACTGTTTTTCTGTTGGTAGTCAGTATCTAGTAAAAAAAAAGTAATTATTCTACAATCCTTTTAGCTGTGATACAGCATGATAGAATGCCCCCTGGAAATTTAGTAGACACATCCATTATGATCAACAAATACTGATTCCCAATTTTTGTTTTAGAGAGGGGTCCAAAGCATTCAATTAAGACTCTTGTAAAAGGCTCTTCAAATGTGGAAATATGTGATGGTCTCCATTTGCTCTTCAAGACTTCATTTTTAAGATAGTAACATTCTGGGATACACTCAGATTGTTCTTCTGTTTGATACAATAGTTTTAGTTTTTCATCTTTCTGTTGTAATTCACCTAGTTTCTCTGAACTAAAAATATCCACTTTGTCTTCCACCTATTCTTGCTTTTTTCCCAATGATTTGATCAAATATAGTTTCTGATATTTGAACTTCAAATTCCTTATCTTCTTTCCTTGATTTCTCCTCTTGTTTCAACCTGTGGCTTTGTCATCTTGTTACCACACAGTCAGGAAAATTCCCAGATATGCTTTCTGCAACATTTCAGTGTCTGATTTTCCACTGACTTTTCAACCACAGTTGATATCACTCCCACCTGTTATCCAGCTATATCATTACAAAGATAAACTCTATTTCAGGAACCGAGAATTTCTCTATTAATCACACCACCACTTCACCACTTTTCACCGGACTTTCCAACCTCACTTTATGTAATGGAGCATTGCTTTTCTCACCATTCATTCTACATATTACCACCTTTTCTGGCAATATTCCTTCTGAATTACATATCTCCTCGCCTCTCACCATCAAATATGGACTTGCTTCTGTATCTCTTAAAATCTTAATTTCTTTACCTGCTCCTCCTGAGTAAACCTTACGAAGGCAGGTAAATTCTAAAGAGATCTGGCACTTTCTTCTCAACCAACTCCTGACCAGGATGTACATTCTGGTGCAGCTTTTTTTAGCTTTCACTGTGCTTTCCTTTACCACTTCAGCAAAACTCAATAGCTTATCTTGTTTTCCTATATCCGTTTTCGCAGTGTTTTTTCTAAACTACCAACACTGCAACTTCATGTGGCCAACTTTATTACAGTGAAAACACCTGAGCTTTTCTACTTCTCTTTCCCTTTCCTTTTTACCCTGTTGGAAACTATCTTTATTATCTTAAATGAGATCTCCTTTTCCCTTACCAGCTGAGGATTTCTCTTTTCCCAAATTTCTATTCCTCATGGATTGAAATTGATGTTGGAAGCCTAACTTTGATTTATGAACCAATTCATAATCGTTTGCCATTTATACTGCTAATCTTGCAGTCTTACCTCTCTGCTTTTCCATAAGTCCTCACTACTTCGGGAAGTGAACTTTTGAACTCTCCAAAATAATCATCCTTCTAAGAGCGTCATATGTTTGATCTATTTTCAATGCTTTTATCCACCTGTCAAAGTTGCTTCGTTTGATCCTTTCAAACTCAATACACGTTTGACCAGGTTCCCTCCTAAGATTCCTAAAACATTGTCTGTAGGCTTGTGGCACTAGCTCATATGCACTAAAGATGGTTTTTTCAACTCCTCATACCTCCCAGTTACTTCCTCTGATAGTGATGCAAATACCTCACTAGCTGTACCCACCAACTGTGTTTGGATCAACAAAACCCAATGGTCACCAGCCATTTCATTTGTTTAGCCACTTTTTCAATGAAATGAAAAAGGCTTCTACATTCATCTGGTTAAACTTAGGCAATGCTTGGACATATTTAAATAGATCCCCACCAGGTCTTTGCCTACAATGGGATTGCTCTGTATCACTGTCCTTGTCACTATTCCTACATTTCACTTCTACCTCCACCATTTTTTGTTGACTTTGAGTTTTCAGTTCCAACCTCCAAAGTTCAAAACTCTCGTTGTCCCTTTCTTCTGCTAGGGCCTTTCTTTCCTTTTCTTTTTCCTTTGTCTTTCTGCTCTTCTGCTTTCATTCATAATTCAAACTGTTTCATTTACTTTTGTTTCTTTTTCTTTTGCCTCTAAGCATTCAAGCTGCTTCATATGCAATTGAATTTTAGCTGTTTCCAAAGATTCTGATGGCATTTTTGGCAATTGTAGATGTTGAGCTATTACTGCAAATAACCTTCCCTTTTCGCACAGACAAAGGCAACCCCAACTCTAGCTTGTCTGCCAATTCCAAAAGCTTTGCCTTGTGCACTTTCTGTTAAACTCCTGAAATGACTTCCAACCCAGGAAACTATTAGTGACCAAAAGAGCTGTTACTTTACTAGGCACAGCCTATTCAAACCAACCAAATGCAACACCTGAAAAGAGAATACCAACGCTCACCACTCACTGTTTTTGAGTCCAATATCTTAAACCCAAACAGGAGTAAGAGATTTTGATCCTGGCAAGAGCCCCCAGTTTGTTATGGAGCAGTCCAAACACCCTCAATATATATTAAGAAGTTAGCCTAGATCCCAACGTTTTCTTATTTTTAAAGGCAAGTGTAAAGCATTATGTTCCCAACATTTTTGTCATTGCCAACATCATTCAGAGGACGAGGAAGTTCTGCCTTCTGTCATTAATCATTTATTTTCATTGATTGTTGCAAATAATTCCAAGAGACCCAAACTGTAAACAGAAGACTTGTGATAAATTAACATTTATTGAATTACAGCAACCCAATACAATATCATATTTTAGATGGTTTATGAATGATTTAACTTTGAAAATAAAGGCTCTTATTCTAAAGCCTGGTAATCTAAATTTGTATTCATTACTGTTGAGCTCGTTCTAATGTAAAGACAGAAAGTGCAAATGAAAATGTTCATCACGGTATTTCTTAATCATGTTTGCAGAGGTCAAAATTATTTCCAGGTCGGGTTGAAGCACTCATTTCTCTTGAATGTTATATTCAAGGCTCAACCTGATTATAGTTTTAATACTGAAGCATAAAGATGAGCGTAAAGGAAATAACTTGTCTAAATCTCACTCTATGCTACTGAACAGTTATGGTGTGCACTGGTCATAGTATTGAGCTCGAGTTTCAATGTATTTCTTGATCTTAGTCACTTGATCCTGATAATCCTCCAGTTGAGCAAATTTCATTGCCAGCTGTTTATTTCCTTCTGCAAGATTTTGCTCAATTGCTAAAATGAGAACAGATTTAGAATGTCAGGCTTATATTTTGAATTCAGTCAATTATGTGATATATTATTGACTACGTCTATACAAATTAAAATCTTATTTAGTACACATTTCCTTTAACTGAATGTCATGTAGCCACATTCCTCATAGCTGCTTTATAAAGTTTATTCCTGAATTTCTGATACATCATTTTAAGAAATAGCTATAGTGATTGAAATGCAGCTCTCTTTTTCAAGCACTTTGCACCTTTGCTTCTTTTCAAGTATTATTCCAAAGACTAAATCCATTGAACAGAATTTATTCTTGGTGATGGATGTCTCACCTGCTAGTTGGAGAACTGGTTAAAGTCCTTCATCATTTCTGGCTGAGACCCAATGGAATTAAGTGCTGGTCAGTACAAGTGTCTGGTCAGCTCTGAGATTTTAAACCCTGGGGCTGGGGTGTGAATGTCCTGCCCTCAAAGCTTCTGGCCATTTACAGGATGGCAACTTGCCTCTGGCAGCAATGTCACTGGGAATGGTGGCTTCTTTTGATAACGCACACAGGGAGAGGCCTAGGATTGTTGAAGGACCCAGGTCGCAGATGAAGGAGGATGGATGAGAGACCCCAGGCTTGGGAATTACAGCAGGGAGAAGGAAGAATGTATCAGGGAAAAGAGATGAGAGTGACGGGTTGGTATAGAGTCCCAATGGGATTTGCTTATCTCCAGTCCCCACCTGCCCCTAGTTGAAAATTGGACATTCATTGCCCACCTAAAGGCCACTTTTAGCAACCAGGTGGGAAGGCTGCCCATGAGTCTCCTGCCCTGGATTTAAAACAAGTGGAGGTGGTGGAATCGCCAAACTTCACCCTCTTGCCTGATCTTGCCCACACTCCAGACATGACTTTAGAGGTAGAGGGGCATTAAATTCCAGCCATTCAGCAAGGACAATGAGTAGAATTTTACCATGACATTTTCAGTAATGACATCTGAGTGAGGAATATTTGTGGACTGCGCTGTTATTTTTAATGTTGTCAATGAGTTATTTCTTTCTAAATTGGGTCTGAACAGTCAGCAAAATTTTTGTCCATTATGCTACAATATTATTCAATGATCTCTTCACAAAATAGATTATGTCTGACATGGCAGTAAAATAATATCATTGACTTACCTGCAATTTCCTGCAACCTCTGTTGAACCTCTTTAAAATAATAATCGGCCTCAGATCTAACCCGATTTACTCGATCTATCATGTCCTTTGGAAGTGATTGCGGAATATTATTTTGTAATTTTTCGTACAGGGAAACGAGTTGTTTGAAATCCTAAACAGGAAGAAAAAGCTCAATTTTACACATTCTCCCATAAGTTTTAGTAATATATAAGACACATATGTCATAATAGGGTTAATCAATCTAAATGGGCGCTTTATGATTTCCTCTCTACTGTAGTTTTTTAAAAGCTGAAACAAATTCTGAAGAAAAAATAATAAGCATCAATTCATTTGATGTTCAGTCAGATGGTTTTCATGGAGTTTATCTTCAATTTTGTAATAATTAGATTTCTGAAGTGTCTGAAATTAAACGTGCCTTTGAAACTATTAGAAATTATATTCTGTGGAGTCCATGAGGACTGAATTTTAATGCTTTCACACTGAAGATTCTTGAGTGAGTGGAAAGCTTGCCTCATAAATCCCAACTTAGCACAATGCAGCCACATTTCTTGATGATACAAAGCCAGGTGGGAAAGCAAGCTGTAAAGAAACCACATAGAGGCTACAAAAGAAGATAGATGGCTAAGCGTATGAGCGGAATGATAGAATGTAACGCGGAGAAATGCCTAGCTATTAACTTCGGTAGGAAAAACTTGAAAGCAGATAACGATCAGAAGCTGAGAGACTGGAAACTGTTGGTATTCAGAGGGACCTGGGCATCTTTGTACATCAATCACAAAGTTAATATGCAAGTACAGGAAGCAATTAAGAAAGCAAGGGTTACGTTAGCATTTATTACATTGAGATTGAAAAATAAAAGTTGTTGTATTGCGCCTGTATAGGGCTTTGGTGTGACCACAACTGGAATTGTGTACTGTTTTGGTCTGTTCACCTGAGGAAGATCATGTTTGCTTGAGAAGGGGTATACAATGGGGAGAAATTGATTAAATTGGGTCTGTATTACCTGGAACTGACAAAAATGAGATTTAATCTCATAAAACCTGTGTAAATGCTGAGAGGGTTTCCCCAGTTCCCCTTTAATGGGAAGATTTAATGTTAGTCACAGTTTCAGATTAAGGAGTCAGTCATTTAGGATTGAGAAGAGGAGAAATTTATTTACATAGAGGGTTGTGAATCTTTAGAATTCTGTACCTGAGAGCACTGTGGATGCTGAGTACTGAGTGTATTCAGGACAGAGAGTTGAGGATACTAAGGAAATCAAGAATGGGGAATAGCCAGAGTAAGCAGATTTTCAGTAAATGATTAACATAGCAAAACCTGCTGAAAAGAACAAATAGCCCACTCCTGCTCCTATATCTTATATTCTTAGCCTGATGTCATTTGAAACCTGTATGTGAATACTGCAAGAAAGTACAACCACTTTATACTTGTTTGTTAAGATTCTTTTTTAATATAGGAAACTTCAGCTACATCACATCAAAGGCAGGCACAGGAAAAACTGCAAGCAGCACATGATTCACTTGTTCAGGTTACATAAAACAAAATTCATTCTGGTAAAAAATATAAAATCTCTGGGATTCATATTGAAATATAGAAGTAAAGCCAACACAACAGTGTTTGCTAAAGACATTTTATCAGTTTTCAATCAGTATTACAATGCACTCCCAAAACAAGACTAGTAATATAACTGATCAGTAAGAAGTTTCTTGTAACTTATCTATTGTAGAAATAAATACATATTCAATAAAGGGTGAAAAAAAATGTTGATTAAATGTATTTGTTCCATTGAATTTTACGATTACTTACCTGTTCAGCTTTGTCTCCCATGTTTCGTGAATCGAGAGCTCTGATTTCTAAATCTGTGGCCTTCTGCCGGTTAATATTGTTTTGGTTCTGCAAGTTGTTAATGTTATTAGTGAGATCCCTTAGACGTTCTGTTATATCCTGCAAATTAGTTTCTGTGTGGGTAAGCTTGTGCTCAATCTGCAAAATAAACATGATAAGAGCATATTATTATCGAAATTTCACATATGTAGCATCAATTTTTTTTTAAAGAATTTAGAGTTGTCCTTTACTGTGACCAAAATTATATTTTGGATGTATTATTTTCATAGGCTATTTTGAAATGTTCCATGTGTCAGTCCATAGGTTCCACATGTTAGATGAATAAAAATATTGAATTCTTTGTCTAGCAGTGATAAAAATTTATTTGAAGAAAATAATTTGAAAACATATACTCCTATGCAATTGGTTAGTAATGTAAATAACAGAAAATTTTGTTTGTCATCAGAATGTTATGACACTTGCATCTTCAAGTCAAATGCCAACCAAATCCACCTGTGACAGTTTACTTAGCCAACACTGGGATGGTAAAGGGACAGGGTCTTTCTTCAGTGGAGCAAAAGGATGGAAAATGTCTCGTATTCAGTTTAATTTTGGTTTATATTGACTAAATGTGAGTCAATGACAAAAAGGAAATTATGGAGATGTTTGAAACTCCAATAGTTGGAAGAACCTGTTTCATGGTGACGGAAGAATGAAGGGAGCAAAAAGAGAAAGTAAACAAGTTCTGTTTCATAAGAGGATGCAATGCAGATATATTATTGTAATATTCATTGTAGATGGCGGATGTCAAAAGTTAGCAGGTGCTTCATTTACCTTTGTAATTTTTTCCTGGGCTGTGTCAATATCCTCTGTGGCATCTTCAATAATGTCACTCACATCCTTCAGGGCTTCATTGGCATCAGTCAGAACATCCTGTACTTCGTTGATATTATCCTTCACCCTGCTAGCTCGCTCTCTGGATTACGAGGGTAAAGAAAGAAGAATGAGGATGTCTTAATTTGAAAATGCCTTTAATTGTACTTAAAGGACTATTAAATAACTAAATGCTGTAAAGCTTAGAAAGTGTATTAATCACTTTCAGTGTTGAAGATTAACTTTGTGTCCTTTTACAATCACATCCTACGTTATTTTAAATCATTTGTTAACTAGAATGACTGTAATTCACACATACAGTGCAACTTTGAAGCTTGCTGGTACGTAAATATATTCTGTAATTTTAGTAAATGTTGATCCAAAAAACTGAAATGGGAATGTATAATTGGGTCGTAGTTTACAGTAATACAGCACCATTGGATTGCTTCTCTCTTGTAAAGCTGGCAATATCTACAATGATATTCACTCAGTACCTGGCTTTGTTTGCATCTTCAAGAAGCATTTTAGCCTTGGCAACATCATCCTGTGTGTTTGCTAATATTTCGCTGACATCAGGAATCCTAGAGACAATATTGCGTAAACTGGTGATCTTATCTTGGATTGTCACAGCATCAGTGGGAAGTTTGAGGGAGAGAACATGTTCACTAATTCTCTGAATTTCATCTGGATCTGCCTGGGCTGCTGTTAAGGTCAAATGACATATAAAGAGAGAGTTGTTAATGCACCCGCAAAGTAAAGTCTATAACAAGCAATCTTTGACCGTCATTAAAGTTTCATGACTTGAAATCACCCACCTTTAGGCATTGTCAAAAGGTACAACTTGCTTACCTCTTTTTTTATTACAAATTCTTTCACAATCTTAAACTGCACTGAGCAAAGTAAATCTGAAGCATACCACATGTAAATCAGCTGCCCAACATTCTTGGTCACCTTATATACTCTAAATGGTGACTTGCAACTTTGACATTGGAATCCTTATCCAATATATTAACGGTTTAGAACATAGAACAGTACATCACAGGAACAGGCCCTTCGGCCCAACATGTCTATGCTAACCATGATGCTATTCTAAACTAATCCCTTCTGCCTGCGCATGGTCGGTATCCCTCTATTCTCTGTCTGTTCATGCTTCTGCCTAAATGCCTCTTAAATTTTACTATCACATCTGCTTCTACCATTTCCCCTAGTAGCGCGTTCCAAGCACCTACTACCCTCTGTGTAAAAAATGTCTCCTTTAAACTTTCCCCCTCTCATCTTCAATGTCAAAGTATTTGACATTTCCACCCTGGGAAAGAGACTCCAGCTATACACACTATTCATACCTCTCATAATTTTACATACTTCTATCAGGTTGCCCCTCAGCCTCCGATGCTCTAGCGAAAATAATCCAAGTTTGCCCAATCTCTCCTAATAGCCAATACACTCCAATCCAGGCAACTTCTTGGTAAACCTGTTCTGCACCCTCCGAAAAGTCTCCACATCCTTCCTATAGTGTGGCAACCGGAACTGTGCATAGTAATCCAAATGTGGCTAGACCAAATTCTTATACAGTTACGACATGACTTGCCAATTTTAATACTCAATGCCCTGACTGATGAAGGCAAGTATACTGTATGTCTTCTTGACAATGACTGTACTGAAATGTTTGGTGTACTTACAAGGTATCTTGTTGAATTTTAAATTATAAAACAGGTACTGTGTACCCTGATTATCCTGGTTGGGGGAGGGGTTGGGGGTGGCGGAAGTAGGGGAAAGGAGAGCCCTGAGTGTTTTACTGAAGAGGGCTGATTACAGTTGGCAGCAAAATTGCTCTTCATAAAAGGATCCATAATGTTTTCACAAACAGGTGAGAACTAGGGCATGCCATTGATATTCATCCACATTAAGGAACCAAGTCTTCCATGCCTCTTGTGTTTTAAAGAATACTGTGTCCAAATTTAACTTAAGTGAGCAATAATTCAAATATGTTCCGGAAGATGGCTTTACAACATTAGACAAGGCCATTGATGGTCACAATGTAAAGACATAACATATTGGCAAACAACTGCTCAAGGGCTCAAGCTAAAGTTAATCAAACACTTCCAAAGCACTCATTATCAAAGGAACTAGCTGAACAAGTGCTCAATAGTACCAAGCATTTCTACACAAGTGTGGATGACTCGAAACTAAGGATCTTGTGATTATTGATAGTGTTTCTTCAAAAGATCAACTAGCTATCCTGGAACAAGGAGCAAATATTGTCTAGGGTATGGGTAAAAGGGCTGATTACAATGTGTGTATGATCCCATTTTGGAAACAGAATTTGGAAGATTTATTTATCATATATTACTAGAAAACCTACTTATGGATTCCAAGTTAAATGTTCAATAATTTGGATGCAATCAATTGATGATATTTGTTTATATCTCATCATCATAAGTAAAAGTCTAAACAAAACACAAATGCAGACCATATTGTTACTACATGACTACATCATCCAGTTTGGAGTCTGTGAGAATGAGAAGGGAGCCACTGAAAATGAACAGGTAAAAGGGCCAGTTTCCACACTGTAGGCATTCTATGAAATCTATGAAACCTCTTGCAAATGTCTCACAAAGAACTCAGAGGGAAAAAAAAATTGACCCCTGATGATATTTAAACAGGAAACAACAGTTTTGCTGATCTTCAATTTTCAAAATGATACACTTACATCAATGTAGCAACTATGTAATTGGATTACAGCATGCACTGACGGTGCTGTTTATTTTCTCGTACTGTATTGCAGCATTCACAAAACATGAAGGTTTATTAAAGCAATGTAATTCACTTAGACTTTGTTAGACAGATCATTCCATTAGTTTTAGTAACTTCTTGCTTTGTGACAGTACAATCAGTTCATGGAAGTAGGGAACGGCATGCAGGCACTGGATGAGCTTATAGACCAATTTGCATATGCACAGTATGTTACCTTTAAACAGAAAGATACTCTGTTTTGTTTACCGCTGACAATTAAGAGTTTAGATTGCTGATTACCTACATGTCAGGAAATCTTTGATTGTGTTGATGAGAGTCTTGATGTCTTCAATGTTCTTGTGCATTTGATCTTTGGCTGAGACAACTTGATTTGTCAAACGCAGAGTGTGGCTTTTCATTTGTTGTGCTTTTTGGTCGGTATTTTCAAGCTGGAAATAAACATGGGTTAAATCATATCACATTCTCCACTGGTGATGCTTTTACAATTTGGAATCAATATCAAGATCTTGCCAGTTATAAATAGCCAAAAAATAATCAGGATATTCAAGTATTTATAGTTGTTGTCAAGGTTCAGTTGCTGAAAGTAAAGTAGCAAATATTGCAATTCCACCAGAAACAACTTTAAGGAAAACGATTGTATTGAAAGCTACATGAAGGGAATATTATATAACAGAATATCTTGTTACTCTGAATATTTTAGAAAATATTGATACCCTTTTGGCAAGTTGTGAGATTCTGTTGGAGATATCAGGTAGGGAACTACTTCCTCTCTCGGCATCTTCAATAGCTTTCTCAGCCAGATGACGTGTTCCCTGGCAGTTGATACCTTCGCAAGTTGCAGGACAGAGGTCACCATGGCACTTTTCTGGAGTGCAAGCCTCCCCCATACCACCGCCACAGACCTGAAGAAACATCATAATAGTTCATAGATCATAAAGGAAGTAATAAATCTTCAACAACAACAAAAATCCATGATAAGAATATTTAAAAACAGTCCTTTCAAAGTCCTAAAAAGAAAATCCAACAGATTTTCACAGTTTCTGGGTGCATGAGTCTGTTGTCTGATATTTGAGTTGAGACAAATTGTGTAGAAACTTAAGTTTGCACCTCCATGAAGTTCATTGATTAGAAGCAAAATTCAGCAAAGTGCTAGTGCTCAGATTTAATACTTTATAGGAATAAAATTCCTACCAATAATTACTGAATTACATACTAACTGAACTGGTTGCAGTTGTATCCATGTTTCCAGGGCTAAATAATGCAGTCATGTTTACATTACTTCATCCAAACTAAGGACTGGTTTTTCTTGTGCGTGAAATTCAGGAGTCTGAACTCTTTAAAATTCTAGGACTAGATAACACTTTTACTGTGCATCACTGTGCTATTGGAAATTGGAGTACTTGTGAGGAACAAGACATTCAGTCGCAAATCAAACAAATGTAATCGAGGATGAAGATAGCAAATCACAAAGAGAAATGTTTTGGTGGTGTTACTATTAAGTTCAGATGTAAAATGAAATGCAAGTGAACTACATAACAGGAGAAATATACTTAAAGACATTGCGTTGTGCCTGTTATGACAGTTGACTTGTTCGAGGATTCCTTAACTCATCTAATCCCTGTGTACTGTAAATGCTATGACCTTGTTTAAATTGTCAACTTTTTCCTAGGCTAATATAAATGTGTCAGTTCAAATGGTTTTTGGAGAGATCATATATCTGTATTTGAATGGAACAGATAATCCCAGCACAATCCCACTATTATAGCTGCAAATTCTACCCACTACCAAATGTTCTTTCTGCTAATTCACATATTCTACTACTTAAATAGCCCCTTACTTTGTTGATGAGAGGATTTATATTGGGAAACTTCAGACCATCTTTCAGCTTCTCCAGCTTATTTCTGTTGTCTGTGTTTACATGTTTAGTAAGTTGGTTTGCAGTTAGCCGTGCTTCTCTAGATTTAAGAATGGTAGGTTCCACACCAACAACCCTGTCTCTTGCTTTTCCAGACCGTAGATATGATGAACGAATGTTGTTGAATGTACCTGGTGAAAATATAAATAATCAGTAACACTAATATAAATACCCTGTGTTGAGGCATCACTGTTCAGAAGACAAGTGAATTGTTTCATTCTTTGTATAATTACTAAACCATTCCCTTCATTTGTGAGTTGCTTTTTCCTCACAGTCTTAAGCTGCTATTCATACCGCCTTCTGGGGAGTCAGGGCAAGTACCATATTCCCAGGAATCTTCTGATACTGCTCCATTCTAGTCTTAGAACTATGATGCAGAGAGATCATGATGCAGGAATATAGCTCCAATTCTCCCTCATCTCACTGAAAGCTCCCAATGTTAGGCTGAGAACTTTTTCCAACTCTTTGGTACATTATGCTAACACAGCAATATCCAGACCCACAAGACTTCAAACAATATTCCTTTCCAAACATCTTCCCTGTCCTTCCAAAGCCATAACTTCAGGAATTAGTCTGGCCTTTTATTCTTTGATACCTGGCATGTGGCCTCTTGTCAAGGTGAGTTCTGATATGGCCATTTATGCTTTATTCCAATCTGGGGGTACACCAAAAAAAGGTAGCCCAATGCAGTCATCCATAGACATACATCTTCGCAAGAATTTACAGCATCCTGAGCATCCTGCAGCAGAAAACCTCACTAATTTGTTATTACTTTTGTGGGTGCCCATAGGTTTAGAAATTAGTGAGACAACTAGATAGATATAGAGATGGACATACAGATTTTATATAATAGGCTGGTGTTGGGTGACACTTGGTTGAGGCTTGAGGGGTTAAAACAAAATATATTGATCGCAAGCATAACCCAGAACAGCACATAGAGGAGACAGGAGCTAGTTAGCCTTATAACGGGACATAATCATGACAATGCATGTAAAAGTAGAAACTTGTTAATATTACAGAGAGACAATTACTGTAAATGGGAACAGTTTGCATTTTTAATTGACATGGTCACTAGAAATGGGCACAGCAGGACCTTCATTAGGTTTGCAATTGAAAGCATTTATCAACTGGAAACTGGTTCAACCTTTTAATGAGGTATCAAACTGTAATTGTCTCATACAGTTTATGCTCATACAATCATATGGTATCCTGCAAAGTATATAAGTATGTCAAGAAACCTTTGTCCATTGAACAGTCTTTCTCAAGCTGTATCCCTGTATGAATATGTTAAAATAAAGCTTTTACCTTGTTTGGACTGTTAAATGTCACTGTGTTGAGTCTCACGTGAAAAGCTACAATAATTTCTTAGCCAGCAATATAGTTTATCTAACTCAACCCAAACTGGAATTAGCCTAAAACTTTCTGGGTCACCATGTCCTCATCCATTCTTTTAATCTCACCCCTTGCTTTGTATTCAAAAGACCCTCTGATCTTTCCCCCTCCTGCACATCCCCAAATAAACACCCTTCCCCTCCACCACCATCCCCATTCTGATTCTGAATGATCTGTCCTCAGCAAAGGCCTCAGCTACATCCCCTTATGCGCCTATTTCAATGAATTTTGAACAGAACACCACATTCAGTTGTTCTTCCATCATCATTGTCTCTGCGTCCATTTTGTGGGTGGGCATCCTCCACTAGCAAAGATTAACTTTTTACTTGCTCCCGTTTTCTCTCTTCACCTGGAACCCTGCCTCGATCTTTTAATTGAGAACTGCCTGCATATCATTGGCTCTCTTATGTTCACTGCTTCCCTCATAACCTGTAACCCTTGACAGTGTCCCTTTCTGGTCTATTCCATACTATGATCTTAACTATCAGAGGGTACCATTGTCATTAAATGATACTTTAGGTTAAAACATATCTGCCCTTAGGTTATGATGTTGAAAAACTGGTTATTTACTGAAATAGAACAATTACATAGATTCCAGAATGTAATACCTTGGTTGCCTTGTGAGCCTTCACTGATGAAAATGTCAATTTTTTCTTGTGTGCTCTGTATTTGACTGTTGATGTTTTTTATATTATTGTCCAAAACATTCATTTCCGTGCGTAAATGATAACTTTGATCCACAATATTGGTGTCAAGATTCATCTGGTCAGCTTCTGTCCTGTTTCCAAACATAAGCAAACAGACTGAGGAATAGAACATAGAACATAGAACTGCACAGCACAGGAATGGGCCCTTCGGCACATGATGTTGTGTCGAACATGATGCCAAATGAAACTAATCCCTTCTGCCTGCCCTTGGTCCATATCCCTCCATTCCTTGCACATTCAAGGGCTTATTTAACAGTCCCTCAAATGCCCTTATCATATCTGCCTCCTCCACCACCCCTCGCAGTGCATTACAGACTCCTACCACTTTCTGTGTAAAAAAACCTTGCCCCTCATGTCTCCTTTGAGCTATCTCCCTCTAGCCTTAAATGCTTGCCGCCTAGTATTAGACATTTCAACTATGATCTTAACTATCAGAGGGTACCATTGTTGTTAAATGATACTTTAGGTTAAAACATATCTGCCCTTAGGTTATGAATGTTGAAAAACTGGTTATTTACTGAAATAGAACAACTGCATAGATTCCAGAATGTAATACCTTGGTTGCCTTGTGAGCCTTCACTGATGTTGTGTTGAACATGATGCAAGATCAAAAAAAATTCTGACCATCAACCCTATCTATGCATCTCATAATTTTACAGACTTCTATCACATCTCCCCTCAGCCTCCACCACTCAAGAGAAAACAACTTGAGTTTTTCTAGCCACTTCTTATAACTTATACCCTCTAATCCAGGCAGCATCCTGGTAAACCTCTTCTGCACCCTCTCCAAAGCCTCCATGTCCTTTCTGTAATGTATCGACCAGAATTGAACACAATATTCTAAGAATGGCCTAACTATAAACAGGGTTCTGACTTAGTACAGCATCATCAGGCAGGGGAGTAGCAAAACACGGATGCTACAGATCCTTTACGAGTATTATCATGAAGTTCTCACAATTGTATTTTTTGCTCCAATCTCAATTGTAATTCAGCCATAGGTAGAGATTGACCATCTTGACATAGATCACACTGGGATTATTATACATTGAAGCTTGATGTTATTGCAGCCTTATGCTCCAGACAGAGGATTTGTTTTTAAATTCAAATTTCAAGATCAATGAATCAGTCTAGATTCAGGTGCTTGATTCAGCTCCATGTCCTTCAGTTGTGCTTAAACCAGATTATTGTCAGAAAAAGGGGAGCTGCATGTCTGTAAAATCTTAACAACAACTTCAAACCCCAGTGAAGTCATTACATACATTCAGAACTTTAGAGGAGATGTAAGGAAAAACGTTTTCACTCAGGGGGTGATGGGCATCTGGAACTCACAGCTTGTAAGGGTGGCATAGGCAGAAATCCCCATAATTTAAGAAGTATTTAGATGTATGCTTGCAATGCCAAGGCATACAGGCAATGGGCTAAGTGCTAAAAAATGGGATTGAAAAGGTAAGTTGGTTGTTCTTGACCAGTACAGACATGATAGATGGAAGGCCCTTTTTCTGTATTGTAGATCTCTATGACTCTGTTTTTGCCATAGGAATAGCTTGTAACATGAAGTCTGGGGATACATAGGCCCAGAATAGATTTGTTACTTCTGTATGTCTTACCATGCTTGACGCTATTAATATATTTATACACTGTCACAATTTGAAACTGCAATCACTGTTGTGATTGTTATGATCCCATCTCATAGCACTATTGGACAAGTCAGATCCCAGAGTGATATCTGGCTTTATGGATCATAGATTTATTATTTTGCTTTGTTAGTTAATGTGGTAGGTAGTCACTGAGAAATATTCACATGAGACTGCAGAAGTTTTTTACACAAAAGAAGAAATAACAGGATCAAACCTAGCTATCTAAATATAGAAAACAAACAACAAAATCTAAAACACACAGCAAAACAAAATTCCAACCTGATTCCCAAAACAGAGACTCCAGTCCAGAAAAATTGCACCCCTAGCTCAACTACTTAACTGACTCATTACAGTCTCTTTGAATTGTTTCTACGATCCTTACAATGATTTCCAAGTCTGTTGACGTGAACTTTTTCACAAATCTGAGATACCAGACTTAACCAGACAGCTTAAACTGTTTCACCTGAATAGCCTGCAGATTTCTAAATATACTTTCCTAGCAGTTAGGCCCTGATTCAAAGTCTTATTTGAAAAACTGCACTTCTGACAGTGAAACACTTCCTCAGTACTGCACTGAAGTGTCAGCCTTGGTTATGTGCTCAAGTCTTAGTAGTGAATGCTTGAACTCATGCCCTGCTAATTCAGGCACCAAAGAACATAATGAAGAATAACCTGGTTTTGTCAAGTTGAGGCACAAACACACTAAAGCGCATCTGTGGAATAGAGGAACAAGGTGAAAATGAAAGTCCTGCACTGAAAACAAGACTTAGATTTTACATTACGTTATAATTTGAAGTGTAATCATTGCTGTGATTGTTATGACTGCAAAGCTATATAGTGATAATAAATTAAAATTCAATATACCTTACCTGAGCTGATTGTAGTTGTTGTACACGTCGGTGATCGTGTTGTCTGTCACAGCTGGGTTGCTAATTATTGCTTGAACTTGTTGCAGTTTGTTATCAAGGTCACGTATCTCAGAATCATAATCATTTCCCCCTTGAGCTGGCAGCTTTGTGTTTACCAGGGCTTTGTGTCGAATGTTCAGTGTGCTTATTTGACTATCCACAATCTGGAAACATGGGTGACACTGGTTGCAGTTTGGAAAGTCAGAGCAATAACCACGAAGCTGCTTGCACTGGTTACACAATATCCCTGTGACACCTGCACGGCACAGGCATTGTCCTGTACTCTTGTCACATCCGCTAGCCTCGGTACCTCTTTGGTCACAATTGCATCCTATCAGGACAATAAGTTTCAAAGAGAATTGACTCAGTGCATCCAACCGTTATCATGTGGCACCAGTGTTAATAATATAATTGTAACATAATTAAAACCAGAACACGGGTTGACTTAATTTCCAACAGAGCAAGACTTACAGATGCAGATATTTCCACCTTTTTCAGGTTGTCCAAGCTGGGAAATCGTTTAATAATATAAGGAGACGCATCGGAAGATACATCCTGTTAGCAATCTAGCATGTTGTTATTGCCTGCTTATACTTAGAAGGTGTTTGGTTAATGTTGAGTTTACTCGTGGTCCTCCATCTAAGGCTGCTAAGGAAGTAGCAGGGGAGTTAAAAATTAAAGGGCTGGGTGAAAAGGAGAAATATTAAACGGTGCGGTGAGAAAGCGGGAGGTTGGAATTAGATTACATGACGTGTCTGGACAAAACCCCTGTGCACATTTGATGGGCCAGGCATTTCAGACTGTGTGCTTGCCATTTATGGTAATGAGCAAAATATCAGCACAGAATAGGCAGAGTGACAGAATTTTACTCATGACTCCTATTAATTTGAGGGTCTATGTTTTAGCTGCTACTCTCAATCAGCCCACAACATGGAGCTCCTCTCTAGCTAAACGGAAAGCATCAGAAAAAGTTTTCCAATGTTGTAGGATCACAACCAACTTCCTTTGGTTGGCATTTGGATCTGACTAGAACGGTTTCCCAGTTGCATGCAGATAACTTCAGAAATAGGAGAGAGAGATTGCAAACGGATCAGAAGCAATTAAAAAAAGTAATAAAATCAATGTTTAACATGATTTTTCTGAGGTACTAGGATGAATTTTCACAATGCATTTTACGATGAATTACAATTGAGAAGATCTAGAATAGTGAACTAGAGGAGAGAATAAGACAAGGTAAGGGAGAAGTTTGAATGGGTTGATTGATTAGAAAATGTAAACCTGAATTTTTAGATATTATCTAGAAATTATTCTTAGTAGCAACAAGTGTTGGGAAGGGTACATTAATGTTTCTAGAGTGTGGTAGTGGGGGGGGTATGGTGGCATATATGTATACCATTGGCAGAAACTTTCCACTCGAACATTGCCCTAGCAGAATAATCTGCCTATGTTTACCTGTTCTGTGTCTCTTCCCAGGCAGATGGATTCTGTTTCCCTTTATCAGCCCCATCCTCTGTATATTTACCTTATATGCTGATTGGCCTAATGTCCCTTGTTTTCCATTGTCTCATATTAATACCACATCAGCCATTTAGCTATCACCTAATTCCCTTTTAGATATCTAAAAGTTTGCTCCTCACATGCATCCTGCCCTTTTTATATGAGTATATGTTTGCCCCCTTCCCCATGTTCCTTTCTAAATCCTATTCACCATTAATTCTTTTTCTATTCTATTGAGGAGTTACACTTGAAACATTAAGATAATAGATTGCTCCACAGAAGAGGCATGTTTCCAGCACTTTCCATCTTTGCTTTAGAGATTGTGGGTGGAACCTTGTTGTGGTATCGGGGGTCTTGCCTGTCAGGTGGCAAACTGGCAGGAGACCGCGGTGCATCTTTTCCGGAAGGCCTGCTGAAGCACAAGCCAATCAGGTGAGGGTATAGCCAGCTCTGAGCCTTCCCCTGGAAACAGGGTCCAAGGGGCAAAGATCCCACCTTGTGAGAGCTGCTGACCAATCAGAGGCCAGAAGCACTTGTACTAAGTAATGCCACTGAGGAGGCAGTGGCTGCTGCTGGAAGGACAGGCCCCAGAGTCTGAGGAAAGCAAAGGAGCCAGATCACAGATCAGTCTTTTGGGTGAGTTGGGGCTGGAAGAGGTTTGCGAAGTGGGAGTCAGCAGGGTAGATGGGTCGGAAACAAAGGCAGGAAGTTGGCTGTCATCAGGTGCTGATTGCCTTCAACTGAGGTCCCCTCCCACTTAGAGGTGGGAGGAGGCCTGCATATGGCAGCAGGCCTGCCTACAGCTGAGTTAATCTCCCAGTGGCAGTGAGATGAGGTCCTGAAATGGTTATTAACTGGTCACTCAAGAGTCTCATTTGGCAGCAAAATAGGAAGGTCAATCGTGAATCTTCCTGCCTGGAACTGAGTTCTGGTGGGAGGTGGGATTTGTTTCAGAAACATACAGGCATTTAGTCAGACAGGACAGTTTAACAAAAAGATCCTAAGAAGGATCAATCAGGGTAAAGAGACTTGTTTTTATTAAAGGCTTTAGATACTTACGTACACATTCCGTACCCCAACTGTAATAGTTGTCTGGGCATTCTTGCAAATTTGCTCTTGCACATGTTCTTCCACTATTTGCTGTCTTACACGGACACTGACCTGTAACCTGGATAGAACAATATAGTAACGCATCAGTAGCCTGTTGCATCATGCCTGGGTGAAGAACCCCAAAATATGTACCTTTTTAGTATTTCAATGAGGGCCATTCTAAATGCATGTTGTAAGCAATGTGTGTACAATGGCATGGTAACTGAACACATCAGTAAGACACTTTTAAAAATCATCCAAGATAAAGACATTGTTTTCAATCCCAAGTACAAACTGTAGATTTTAACCTACGCAGTTAGGATGCAAACCCATAGACTTAATTCAAAGATGTCAGATAATGTTAAGTGAGGTTCCTGTCAAGACTTTCAGATGTTTTACTATGTTAAAGGTGATATATATATGCAAGTTGTTGCTGATCACTAACTGAGTCACACATGCAAGTTATATCACATCTTAGATGCTTTAAAAACTGGAATGAACCAGACATCTAGCAAATCATATCTAAACACATTCATGGAAATATATTGGTGTAAAATTGCATTTCATAATTTTACATTTACAGTAGAATATGACCATTCTAGAAGCACTTCAATATGCAATGCATCATGATCCCTGAGTTTAAGGTCATGCCTTACTTTCCTCTGTCTGAAGATATAGCATCAGCAAAATCTGCAAGCCCTTGCAATGAGAAAACACTACAAAATTATTTTTGGTGGCTCACTTCTGATTTTTTTCCACATTTGGTGAATGCTGGTCTTGCAGCAAGATCAGAATCACTCAGAAGAATAAGAAAAAATCTCTAAACTAATTCACAGGAAGAATGAGCCAATTGCTGCTCAACTTAAGTACTGCTTTATTTTGAATGAGTAGCAGCATTTTTAGCGGTGTGCTGGAAGTTATACTGTACCTCGTCACAGCGTTGGCTGTAAGAGTTTCTGGAATCACACCTACATGGCTCACAGCCAATTCCTCTTCGCAAGTTCCAGAAGCCCTCAGCGCACCGGTCACAGTTTGGACCTACCACATTTGGTAGACAATTACATTGGCCTGTGGTGGGATTACAGCTGCCATCAAGTTGCGATCCCAGTCCATTGCACGTGCATTCTGAAAAATAAAGGAAATCCTTACAAAATTCATGTTAGAATATTCTTTTACCCTTAATTTATGGGGCAGATCTTCTTCATTCTTGGATGTGAAACACGCATTGTGTAAGTGGAGGAAATAGGAAAGTCAGTCAGTGGGCTGTATGGGAGAAATAATCTGTCTCATTTATATCTTAGATTTGTTAAATGAGGATAAAAATCTGTGTGGGGGAATGAAACACATTTTGCCTGTTGTCTCTCAGTGTTTGTCTCAATCAGTAGCACAAACATCCAGACATAAATCAAATTTCATGCCACTTTTCCTTTTAGTGTCCCCCAAATCCATGAGTATCTCCTTTCTAAGACAGTCAGCCAAGGCTCAGGGATATATGAGGTAGATTCTTGGAACAACCATAATACTTGGTCATAACAAGAATGTCTGTGCGGAGTCTTTTAAAGTGGATAGGCTCTTGCGCTGCACCCACTACAGGGTTCTGGGTGATCAGGAAACTCTTCTGCTCTTATCATCTGCCGTTGACATATCAGAATGATTTGTACATTGATGCTTGGCCACATCATGACACCTTCCACAACCATCACACCCAAAGGTGGGATTTAAACCTAAAGCTTCTGCCCCACATGTAGGAGTGCTGCCATTGTGTTACAGGATTTCCTGGCTCGGTGGTAGCTCTCCTGCTTCAAGTTAGAAGAATCTCACTCTGGAAACCTAGCATAAACTCGAGGCTGTATTAAGTGGGGAGAACTGCAATGTCAGAGAAGACTTTAAAGCAAGTTCCCAGTTTCTGAAGAATGGTCACAGGCCTGAAACATTATTTTTCTTTCTCCACATATACTGTCAGACCTGCTCAGTAATTTTGGCATATTCTTCTTCTATTCTCCATCTGCATGCAGATGGTCATAACACAACCATGGTAGAATCCTGAAGAAAAATGAAGCTCTTCATAAAGTTCTGGGAAAAATTTATCCCTCAATTATCAGATCTGAAACAGGCTGGGTCTGTTCATTTCTGACTGTGAGACAGTAAGTTGATTGTTCTGCACAATGCAACTGTGACAATATTTACATTGTGTTTCTCAATAACTAAAGGGTATGAAACTTCAAAGATAAATGCAAGTTCTTTCTGTTTACTGTACAAGCTTTATATTTGTATTTAGCACAGCAATGATCCCCGTGGGTTCTGAAATTACTTTATTGTGGTAAGTTTATTGCTTTTGAACTGGAAAGTCCGGCTTTCGACTTGCTTTTAGATTTTCCTAAACTGTAAACTGGATATCAAAAATATATCTCCGTGTTCTCATAAGTGACTCCTAATTTAATGCCAGTTACTGTTGAGTTTGATGACATTCTCAGCATGACCAGCTTAAATACAGTGATAACATTTAAATTTGGGCTATCAGGAAAATTGTAGTAAATTGGAAGTTTGACATTTTTAAGCAATCTATTGGTCTAGAATCTTCTTCCCTAACTCTTTGCTAACACTAATTTTGTTACTATGTTTAATTCACTTACGAACACAGGCATCAATTGCTGTAATATCTCGTTGTGGGTTGCGATAGAAAGAGGGTTTGCATTTTTCACAGTTGTTTCCCATTGTATTGTGTTGGCAGTCCACACAGACTCCACCACTGACTCTTCCACTGGCTCTGTACACCTCGGGATCAAAGCGACACTTCTGTGAGTGATTGTTACAGTTGCATTCTGTAGGAGAAAGTATGAAAAACAGATTATATCTAAGCACAGCATCCAAACATTATCTAAGTGGATCATTCAAGAAGTAAACAATGCACAGCAACTTTGGCTTTCTAGCGCCATGACTAGGAAACTACACCGTTGTGACAACTACTTAGAAACCCAAACTCCAGTCAAAGGCCTTACCTTACTGTCTGAATAAGGATTGTTTTCATCAGTTATGTGGACGTCATGGAAACATACTTTCATTCATTAATTTTGATAGATGCAGATACAGAAATGTTTGTTCCTGAATTCGATGCACTCAAGGTGAGTGAAGTTTCAAAGTAGGAGCAAGTATTGATATATATTACCACTAATGGGAGGAAGCAATGGCCTAGTGGTATTATTGCTGGACTGTTAATCCAGAGACCCAGGTAACATTCTGGGGACTCAGGTTCGAATCCTGCCATGGCAGATGGTGGAATTTGAATTCAATAAGTATCTGAAATTAAGAGTCTAATGATGACTGTGAATCCATCATCAATTGATGGAAAAACCCATCTGGTTCACTAATGTCCTTTAGGGAAGGAAACTGCCATCCTTACCTGGTCTGGCCTACATGTGACTCCAGACCCACAGCAATGTGGTTGACTCACAATTGCCCTTTGGGCAATTAGGGATGAGCAATGAATGCTGCCAGCAACGCCCTCATCCCGTGAATGAATAAATTAAAAAAGTAAAATAATAAGGGATATAGACAAACATCAATGCATTGGTATATGGAAGGGAGCTAATTAGAGGAGTTTGGTAGGCATAAAGCTAGGTGTAAAATCAGAGTGTGGGATAGACAGTGCAATGCTAATCAACATGTAAATGCCATGTAACCCCTTCTACAGAGTCAAAATCTGAAGTATAGCCCAGGACTTGCTATTGATATTATTTTCAAATGAATGGCGATCTCATGAATAATAATATTTTTAATTAGCTCTCAGACATCAGCATATGTCCTGCTCTACACAGATACTCCACTTTAAATCCAGGAAACTCTTCCTTGGGGTCATACAAAGAATCTAAGGTATTTACTCACTTTTACATGGATTAGTATTGTAGTCATCAGCTGGTTTCCACGGTCGGTCATTGTAGAAACTTGCACATACCTCACAGTTTTTACCTGCAGTATTGTGCTTACAGACACATTGTTCTTGAATCTAAAGGAAATAGACAGTGTTACTAACAACACTACTCTAAAGATACAAGCAAGTGGCAGAGGCCAGATTCTGACTTAATTGTAGAGGGCATCTAGACTTTCTCAATTCTACTGAAGGATTTACATGGATACTCATGTATACAAGTCTTGTGTTGAAACACTTCTACTAATTTTGATTTGAAACATCGTTTTGTGGTAGAGATTAGAGTTAGCCTCATTCATGGAATAAAATTTAGATGTCTCATCAGATTAGCCCCTGCATTTCCATCAGTGTCATTTTTCTTCATTGCATTCTAAAAGAAGAACTTAAGCATTGCGAAGAAGAGAAATGAAGTTGAAGCATTTGCCTTGTATTCATCAGAACCAGGATACAAGAAACAGACTTGAAAAAGGAGGTACCGTCTTATCCGGCATGAGAAGTAGGTGCTGATTTGTTGGACTGTCATTGGCAAGGAGTGCAGCAAGAACAGTCAACTGGCAATCATATTTCTCATGCTAGGCAAGTAAGTTTTGATTGGTGAGAACATTACCGTGAGGATGTAGTCAAGAATTAGCTGTCCCAATGATAACTTTATGAAAATATACAATATGTGTACAAACTTACCTACATACAACATGACTCAATGTACTTATACATGTAGCTTCTAGCACATACAAATGCATCACAGTGTGAGCCTGACTGATAATCTTAAATTGGTTTCTGTCGTAACTCTTAGCCTGGTCTTGACCATTTAATAAATTATTTCCACTCCTGCATCGATATATTGCTGAGTTTGGGCTTTTAACACACATTCAACAGAATAATGACAGAAATCCTACAGCATAATTAGGATGAGTTATTATAATTGATGGTATGTGATGAATTAGGAAGGACAAGGTTTATGTTAGGCTGTAAGAAGTACTTGGTACTTTAGGTGTGATTGCATTTCATAATTCTGCTATTGTACAATTTCTTGAAATACAAATATGAAATGGTAACAGGATTCTCACCATTTTTCTTGGCCCACGGGGAGTATACACAGAGTTATCTCCTGAGGTGCAACTAGATGCATGTCCGTTACAGAAACAGCTGCCTTGAACCTTCATATCATATACAGCATAAAAGGTGTTGGCGTTACTAAGCTCTTGGGATAAAACTGGCTTGTGCGGTTTGATTAGATTAATCCTCAGGTTTGTAAATGGCATCATGTCTAAGAACAGAGACAATGTTTGTTTATTTAAAAAATACAGCAAGAGTTTGTGTTTCTTCTGGTTGTGCTGAAACTGTAAAAGTCAATTTTAAATGATAAAAATGAATGTGACTTATCGGTGAACAATAGTCTGATTGCAAGTTTTGAGGCAACAAGGCTGCAGGATAAGGTATTTAAGCAGACAAGGTATACATAGAGAAATTTTGTGGTATATTGAACAGCTTCTGTGCCAATGCAAGGACAATTAGAAACACATAGTGTATGAGCAAAAATTCCAGTTATTTTAATTACTGTATCTGTATATGAAAGTATCATAAAACACAGATCAAAGTTGAGAGATCATAAACGCAATTTGGAATTTATCTGGTTAATAAAGTATCTTACTGTTAATCTTGTTACTCTTTGAACCACTGATATAATCAGCCGATTTGAGGGGGTTAAAAGTAACCTAAAATCAAACATGGGAAAAAAGAGACTGTCAAAATACTTGTTTTAATTGATATTAGTTTTCACAAATTGCAGTTGAGCAACATATTCAACAAACACAATTGGTGATATTTGTGACATTATCGCATTATCAGGTCACTGACTGATATGTTACAGTTTATACCTCAGTAACATGTTTACTTAGTCTGTCAGCTCAAAGGCAGAGTGGGGAGTTAGTCAATAGAATGGTGATTCTGAAAACCAGCTGCTGTGGTAGGCTGTACCTGCTCATCTGATGAATCTTGATTCCTTGTCTGTTCTTGACAGCGCACATCATCAAAGCTCTGAGGCTGCCCTGTTTGTATTTGAGGGAAGGAGGCAGCACAGTCATCTGCAAAGTACTGGTAAGGTTTCCAAGTTTGACCAAAATCTGTGGAACGCTCAATCATCATGGCTGCTGGCCGTGGAGACTGAAAAGAAAAGTAAAGCAGAAAATATTAAAAGTACTTTCTTCATCAATATAATCCAAATTAATTGTGTTCAGAGAAATTAGGAGGATCACTTTTGCGCAGAGATAAACAAATTCATAATTCATATCCATTGTATAGCACTCTAAGTCATTCCCGAAGCATGCTACCTAAAAGTAATCAAGCTAAATAAAACAAGTTGCAGGGCTGGATGAACACAGCAGGCCAAGCAGCATCATAGGAGCAGAGAGGCTGATGTTTCGGGCCTAGACCCTTCTGATGAAGGGTCTAGGCCC